TAAAACATGCTTAGTGAGTACAAATAAAAATTAATTAGTTACCGTGTTTAGAGATATAGAATCTTTTGTGTGTGGATATCTTTCAAATTCTTAATAAAACCAAATGGGTAGAACAATTTTTTTTTATTTTAGTTCTGTTGGCTTCTATTCAAATAGAAGAACTGTCAAATAAATTTGTTATGGATTATTAGAATATTATAAAATTTAAAAGTACAATTGATTTAAATTATTTGCTGATATTAAAAAAATAGTCTCACGAATAAATTATTTTTTGAAATATTATTAGTGTGAACCTGAAAAATTAAATTATATATTATTATGTTTCTATTGTTATATCAATTATTATATATTTATAATAATTATATATTTATAATAATTATATATATATAATCTTCAATATGTTAAATTTATTGTATGTTTTAGAGGTCAGTCTATTCTATTTATGTAAAAATATTCCATAATTTTATAACAATAAATAGTTATGTCTTTTAAAAATGCTTGTAATATAAAACTTACTTGATGCAGAACCCATTAGATGTTCAAACGCCAATCGTAATAAACACCAAAATAGAAAATTAAAAAGATTCTTGATATGAAATATATATGTAATAAAGTTATTTTTGGCACTATTTAAGAAACCTTATTGTAAAATTTAACATGATGACAATACTAAACAATTCAGAATTAATGTGTTGAAAATAGTTATCCTAATTAATATTAAAAACACAATTTGTTAATAATTGAAGGATGAGTATGCTCTTATTTAATTTTAATTTTTTTGTTCAATTATTATGTTATACAACTTACCTTAAAGAAAAATTACTCAATAATTGTTGTTTTATAAATGTATTGATGCCTCAAACTTCATTCTCATCTATATATAGCATTTCCAAGTCAATTTCAACCTTTTCCAAGTCAAATTCAACCTTTTCCAAATCAAATTAAACTTTTTCCAAGTCAAATTCAACCTTTTCCATTTCAAATTCAACCTTTTTTTATTTATTTAATTATCTTTAATCTTTTGATGTGTGGGTCTGTTATCGTATGAGTAGTTTTTGAAAATAAGATCCATTTTAAGATTACGTGACTGCGTTTCGAATTATTTAAGTTTTTTTGACTTATTCGATATAAGGGTGTATTTTTATGTTTCCCGATCAGTAAATTTTGAAAAGACATCATTTTATGTTTACGCCACTGTGTTATGATTTGTTTAAGTTTTTAGAATTTTTCCAATGTAAAGGTCTACTTTTATGTTTCCGGAGCCGTAGATTTTGTAAACGACCTACATTTTAAGATTAGGCCACAGCGTTTCGACTTATTTGAGTTTTTCGGATATTTTTCAGATGAGGGTGTATTTTTATGTTTCCGGAGCTGTAGATTTTGAAAATGACCTCCATTTTATGATTACGCCGCTGCGTTTTGACTTATTTAAGTTTTTCGAATTCATCCAATATTAAGGTCTACTTTTATGTTTCTTGAGCCGTAGATTTTGAAAATGACCTCTATTTTATGATTACGCCACTGCGTTTCAACTTATTTAAGTTTTTGGAATTTAACAAGTATAAAGGTCTAATTTTATGTTTCTGGAGCAGTAGATTCTCCCCATTTTGTAAATGACCCAATTTCAAGTTTATGCCACTGTGTTTTGGATTATAAAAGTTTTTTTTTTTACTTTTTCGGTATAAGGATCTACTTATATATTATCGGAGACGTATTGAAATTTTTCTAATCTTTAATATTTAGATTTATCTAATATTTAAGCTTCATTTTATGACTAAGCCGCTGCCTCTCGATTAATTAGGCTTCATTTTGGATTTTTTCAATACAAAGTTTCATCAATATGTTTTCGAGTATGAATAAATAAATAAATATTATAGAGCTAAAGTTAAATTAACCACAGAATACAAACTAAAAAGCCGAAAAGCAACTGGTAATAAATTTAACCTACCGTATTCAGATTTTTCAGCTAATTGTTCGAAATCTTATAATTTTGTGACAGGAGACCACAACAATAAAAAAGATTGACTAAAATTAAATTAAAAATGAGACAATACATATTTTATTTATTTTGATTAGATATTTTTATTTATTTATTGAAAAATAAATTAATCCTTCGTATTTTGTTTTTTATTCGAAGGAAAAATCAAAAACACTAAAAAAACCGTAACACAGTGGCCTAATCTTAAAATGTAAGTCGTTTTAAAAACTAAGGATCCGGCATCATAAAAGTAGATCTTTAAATTGGATAAATTCGAAAAACTTGAATAAGCCGAAACGCAGTGGCGTAATCTTAAAATGGAGGTCATTTTCAAAATCTACGACTCCGGAAACATAAGAATACACTCTTTTATGATAAAAATTCGAAACACTTAAAGAAATCGAAATGCGGTGGCCTAATCTTAAAATGGAGGCCGTTTTCAAAATCTACGGCTCCGGAAACATAAGAATACACCCTCATTTGAAAAAAATCCGAAAAACTCAAATAAGTCGAAACGCGGTGGCCTAATCTTAAAATGGAGGCCGTTTTCAAAATCTACAGCTCCGGAAACATAAAAGTAGATCTTTATATTGGATAAATTCTAAAAACTTAAATAAGTCAAAACACAGTGGCGTTAACATAAAATGGATGTCATTTTCAAAATTTACTGATCGGGAAACATAAAAATACACCCTTATATCGAATAAGTCAAAAAAACTTAAATGATTCGAAACGCAGTCACGTAATCTTAAAATGAAGGTTATTTTCAAAACTAGGTACAGGACAGCATAATACTAGTCCCTAATAAATCGGAATAGGTACAATAAATCGATATCCGTAAGTGAAAATTCTACTTAGGAGAGCATAATAATAGTCTTTCATATTGGAGCGGGGAGGGGATGGCCATTATTTAAAAAAAATATATAAAATTTACAAAAAATTAAAACATTAATTTCAAATGAAAACGGTTGAATTTGAATTGGAAAAGGTTTAATTTGAAATAGAAATGGTTGAATTTGACTTGGAAAAAGTTTAATTTGATTTGGAAAAAGTTGAATTTGACTTGGAAAAAGTTGAATTTGACTTGGAAATAATTGAATATGACATAGAAATATCACACTGAAAAAATCTAAAATGTTAAAATAAATAGATATGCAACCGCGCTATCAAATTTTTTTTTGTATTTTTCAAAAGCTAGCCTTTGATAATATAGTAAGTGGCCTTCATTTCAAAAAAATCGAAAATTGACAAAAATTCGAAAGTTGAATTTGAAATGGAAAAGGTTGAATTTGACATGGAAAAGGTTGAATTTGACATGGAAAAGGTTGAATTTGATTTGGAAAAGGTTTAATTTGACTTGGAAAAGGTTGAATTTGATTTGGAAAAGGTTGAAATTGACTTGGAAATGCTATATTTTAGAGAATTATACAAAAGTAACAGATTATCTACATTAATAAACTATCTAGCAGGATTAATTAAATATATTAATACAAACAATCCGAATTTCATGGGAATATTATTTTACCATCAAAAAGTATAAAGAAATTATTAAAAACTCACTACAGAAGCAATAATGAACACATGTTACCATTTTTTTATGGATAACAGAATAATATGAAGCAACTGAAAGCATTTGAAAAAAAAAAAATTTTTTATAATATAAGTGATCCAGAAGTAAAAGCAAATAGTTTTTAGGAGTTTTTTTTTAGCTCTAACTGTACTAACCTTAAAGAAAAATTACTCAATAATTGTTGTTTTATAAATGTATTGATGCCTCAAACTTCATTCTCCTCTATATATTTTAGAGAATTATACAAAAGTAACAGATTATCTACATTAATAAACTATCTAGCAGAATTAATTAAATATATTAATAAAAACAACCGAATTTCATGGGAATATTATTTTACCATCAAAAAGTATAAAGAAATTATTAAAAACTCACTACAGAAGCAATAATGAACACATGTTACCATTTTTTTATGGATAACAGAATAATATGAAGCAACTGAAAGCATTTGAAAAAAAAAAATTGTTTTTTATAATATAAGTGATCCAGAAGTAAAAGCAAATAGTTTTTAGGAGTTTTTTTTTAGCTCTAACTATATCCAATGCCCCCAAAGGATGACATTTAAAGACAATACTACTGGAAACTAAAGGATTGAGAAATATTTTTCCTTTTCTGATTCTTCTAAAATATTTATATTCTATACGCCTGTTAGATTTTGTATGTTTCCTCGTCACACCATTTTGCTTCTTCTTTCAAACCGGGTCTACTTCTGGAAACCACCACTAAGGCCAAGTCATTGACATTAATCTTCAAGGGCACCCAGCAACTCATCGAAGAATAACTTCCAAAGGGCAGATCCAAGGACAGAGCATTTTTTCTTTGTAAAAGTTATCTTGTATCCTCACTTTTCAATCACCTCTCTAGGTAACTTCTTTTTAGGACATAGAAGTTGCTCGGGGACTCAAAACTTAGTAGCTGTCATAGCACATTCAGCAACCATATGCTATAAAAGCCGGAAGATATGTCAAACAAAATTAAAGTAACATAATTTTCTGTTTTCTGCTCAATGATGTATTTCACTATGATCAAGGAATTGGTAATTCTCTTATCTCTAGTGAATCCGTATTGCTGTGGTTCGTGAACTCTAGTGACGATCGCACACTGGTTAGCATGAGGTACTCCAGGACCTCAAAATAAGGAGGAGACAGATTGATCTATATGATTTAGCAAGTTGCTTATCTCTGTCAGTCACCCTCTCCTCTAGAGCACTCTCAAAGCAGCAATCTTCCACTCTCCTGGAAAATACCCCTTAACTGAACAATCATTGAAGATGTTAAACAGCTTTTCAATATAGGGGATACTGTTCTCTATTGCAGCATCAATAGTATCTAGTCCTGGAGTGTGACCGATTCTCTGCTTATCGACGGCACAACTGAGATCATGGATGTCCCATAGCATAATAGCTTCTAACGAATAAAAGATTAACTCATTTTGAGACGATTTCTCGCTATTCAATCAGTGTAATGTCCGATCGGAATTTTAGTGCCTCAGAATAGCTTGAAATTTTGAAAAAATACAGAACACCTACTTTAATTAGTTTAGAATAACCCTGAAATTCAAAAGGATCCACATCCCAATGGCATGCATTCATTAGCTGCATGACAGCTGTCTGTGACAATACTACAACCTTTATATTTTTCAATTGATTTTATTTATTTGTATATATAATATCAAATTGAAATAATAAAATCAAATATTAACACAATAAAATATAATAAATTAAACAAAATTTTAATATGTATCTAAATAAGAACATATAAAATAATAAAATAGTTATATTTATTACCCTGAGCAAATTAGTAATGGCAGGAAACTCACTTATTTATAATTAGAATTTCTTCTATTTTACATCTTTTATATTAAAATTAAAGTTTTATATTAGGACTATTTCAGTGAAATATAATTTCATAAGAGATGAAAAACTATCGACATCATTCAATATCAAATTTGATTTAGGACTCACAATAATTCTTAAATTATAAATAATACACAGAAATACTCATTGGTTATAAAACAAAATATAAAAATGTTATGATACAATAAAATTGATATGGATAAGATATATTTTACCTATATGTTTTCAAAATCTACAAATAACTTATGATATCATGGTATATCAATCACAAATCAAATTCTTACTAACAATTAAAGCAAACACAGCACTTGTAATATCAATATTAATAAATAATTAAAAACTAATAAAATTCAATCATCAAATTGCCCTTCAACGGGTGGTGGTAAAGTAGTTTTACTAACAGTAATAGGAGTAACTAACTGATATGGAGTAAAGTAATGAGGATGGGTTGTCACTTCATATGGTATTTCCCCTGAAAGACTTTCATAACTTTCTTTTCTTGTAATTTGTACTACTTCTTTAGTCCAAGCTGAAATTAATATAATATTATTGTATTATCTAAATTTAAAAACTGATACTTTTTTTAGTACAATGAATTAAATTGTACCATCAAGTCAAAACAAAATCAAAGATCGAAAATTCAAATTTTTTTGTATCAAATTAACATCAGTCAGGATATGTAAATTAATAAAATATTTAAGCAGAGAATAGAATAAATAGAAGTGTGAGCAGAGCTCCTTAGCTAAGGCCATATTTTTGTTTAGAATAAAGATAAAAAGGGATTCCATTCTTTCATTAACACATACATGGCCAAATTGAATGAAATATAAAGATCAATTTAACTGATAAATTTTTTTAAGCATGGTTTTTGATATTTTAATTGAGGCAGACGAGAAGAAAAGTTGAGACTGCCAAAAGGCCAAGAATAGTGCTTTCCTGGCTTTTATCAACAAATCATCTCAATTATGTTTTATTTATTAATCATCAGTATTTTAATTATTTTTTGAACAAGTATTAAGGCAGTATAAAAGTAAATCATGTATTTAATTTAATTTATAAATATATATCTATATGTGTAGTTATGTTGTTAATAGAATTGAAGATAATTCATAGAGACCTCTAAAACCTCAGTCCAAAAGAATTAGTTAATTAAATTCAATAAAAAATATATTTTTTTCACTAAAGAAACTGAAATTAAAACCTTTTTAATAAATTTCTCTATACAAGAAGGATAGTTATAGTTTCTTTATGGTTTGCAAGGAATTATTTCTTCTTCTTCCTGGTGTAAATACAATACATTATTTTTTATAAAGCAGTTACATATTCAATATTTCGATTTTGTTTAAAATTTTTTACACAAAGAAGAAATAATTATTCACAATCTATAAAGAAATTAATATCTTTTTATATTTTTTTAAAATCATATTTTATATACATAAAATTTAAACCAAGAAATCGCCTCTTAATTTAATAAATTCAATACCATTGTATTGAATTGTATTTATGTTTTGTAAGAATTAAATAATTCTTTTGGAATGAGAGCCTATATTTATATTTATATATTTAGCCTTATATAGGACTGAGAGTTTGGTCTCTATAAATAATCTAAGGACAGTAATGCTGCCAAAAAAGGAATTCAAAAAGGAACAGACAAGAAACTCTTGTCCTGTTCTCAATTACCCGTTCCTTTCCTTTCTTCTCATGATCTCATCCAATTATCGTACGATATCCAAACTCCCTTTGGATTCTTCCTGAAACCATAACTTATAACTTTCCGCAATCTTGACAACCTCACCCGTGATAAAATCCTACCGGACCTTGAAACCCGAAACTGGAACGATATTTATTCCTGTACCTCTATAGATCATATGGTAGACATCCTCACTTCTAATCTTATCCATATTATTGACATACATGCTCCTATCAAAACCTCCTCCTTCCGTCGCAAACCTGCTCCTTGGATGTGTCAAGAAATCCGTGACATGCAAAAGAGACGTGAGGCAGCCCGTAGAAGCTTCAGAAGAACTCGACTAGCAGATGACTATCAGGTCTATAGGGTACTCAGTAACTTGACACAAACAACGATCAGGAAAGCGAAATCAAACTTCTTTCATGAAACCTTCTCTTCTGCTCCTGATTCTAAATCAATATGGCTAACCCTTCATAAACTCTCTCTTTGTAAATCCTCTTCCTCACCGATATACCCGGTTTCACCCGATGAACTAAATTCCTACTTTATATTTTCCACCACCAGCAACAGTTCACCCACCTTTCACCAGTTTTCCTTATCACCCTCATTTAACAGTGATAATTTCTATTTCTCCAACATTTCACCAACCGACCTTATTTCCTCTATAATGAAATCCCACACAAACTCCATCGGACTTGATGGGATACCAGTCAAACTGTTAAAATTATCCCTTCCCGAAGTCGTTCCAGTTCTCCTTTTCATCTATAATTTTTCCCTCCAGAACTAAGTTTTTCCAACTGCTCGGAAAAAAGCATTAGTCAGACCTATCAACAAAATTCCCAATCCTACCTCTCCTAAAGACTATCGCCCAATCTCCATTCTTTCTAACCTTTCTAAACCTCTGGAAAGAATAGCTCAATCCCAAATCTCTAAATTCCTTGAAAACTCAAAACTACTCGATCTTCTCCAATCTGGTCTTCTCCACACAATCCGCCCTACTAAAAATTACCAATGACTTACATATCGCAATGGACGAAAAAATGTTAACTGCGTTAATACTTCTCGACTTTTCCAAAGCTTTTGACTCCTAAGACCACTCTATAATCTATACTAAATTAAAATCTCTATCCTTCTCCAACAGCTCTATCCTCTGGTTGCAGTCTTTCCTATCCGACAGAACTCAAGCAGTCAGCATTTCAAACCAACCCCTATCTTCCTTTCTTACACTGTCCTCTGGAGTGGCCCAGGGTTCGAGCATTTCCCCTCTCCTTTTCAATTCCTACATAAATGATCTTTCCAAATCCATCTACCACTGTTCACATCATTTATACGCCCCCCAAATCTAAATTTAGACACCCAAATCTATTTTTCCTTTCATCCTTCTGAGCTACTAGTTGCGTTCGCCAATATTCAGGCAGACCTAGATAGGATCAGTGCCTGGGCAAGTCTGAATAATTTTGAATCTAAACACGATGAAAACTCAGGCCATTATTATAGGTTCAGGTCCTATTCTTAAATCCATCTCCTTCCTTCCTCCTTTAGTCATCAACGATCATCCTGTCACATTCAGTTCCTCCGTTAAAAACCTAGGAATCACCATAGATGAAAACCTCTCCTGGAAATCCCATATCGCCCTCATCTCCCATAAGTCAATAGGTGCCCTTAAGCTATTTCATCACTCCCGCCACCTACTCCCACAACCCATCCGCAAGCTCCTTGTATCCTCTCTCATTTTCCCCCACTTTGACTACGGCTGTGCGGTGTATGGAGGCATCCCAATGGTAATCGAGGATAGATTGAAGCGACTCATGAATACGTGCTTAAGATTTGTCTTCGGTACATCAAGGCGGTCTCATATGTCCCACCTTTATGACGAGTTAAAGTGGCTCTTCTCTTCTTTCCGCAGACAATATTTCCTCGGATCTTTCCTATTCCAAACAATCAACACCAGACACCCTTCCTACATCTACAGTCTCCTACAGTTTAAACCCGTGGTCCACTCCCAGAAAACAAGATCCCGTGTTTCCAACATTTATATCCCTTGTTTCCAACCTTTATATCCCTTCCCATAGAACTAAGGCGTTTGAATATTCCCTTATTGCCCGATCCACAGCCTTCTGGAATTCCTTGCCATCTGAAATCTGCCATACCTCTTCCTTATCCTCATTTAAATATCATCTCTACCAATTCCTTCTCACATCCCAAAATGACGTTATACAATAAAACAAATATTGCGAAACAGATTTTGACTGAGGTGAATGGTTGATAAAATTGATTGAGTTTTAATTTTAAAAATCAACCCATGCTTATTTTATTTTGTTTTCTTTTCATTTAAATAATTTTTTTTTTATTTCATTTTTTCTCAAAATTTTATTTTATTTTTACTTGTTTTAATTTAATTTCACTGAAGATACTGTATATATTCTTTAATAATGATTAATGTAATTTTTGGCCAGATGTAGTTTTTATTTTTTTGTTCATATCTGTTATACATAAGGGACCTTGTCCCAGAATAAAGTTTACTTTCTATCTATCTATTTATCTAAAATATGGCAAACATAAAAAATACAGAATAGCAATTAATGATCTAGTGGCCAACAGCCAACACCAGTTGGTTTGATATTAATTTATAAATCAATATAATATGATATATATTAATTTATATATCAAATTAATTCAAAATGAACAATTTTCTGTTAATTACCGATATAAATAAATTGAGGAATGTTAATAATAAAAATATCTTATTTGACTTCTAGATTAAAATTAAACATTAAGCCTACTATACCATTAGGATCAAAACATTCATTTTCATCTTGGTCCCACCAATCTTGACTATGATCCAAGCTGTAAACATAAAATTATATGCTATTACGAATAAATATGACTATGGAATAAACATACATGCTTAAAACCATTAAACAATGATTTTTTATAGTAATATATTTTATGAAAAGGCAGGTACTAAGCTATCATCATATGAAGGTATTTATTTATTTGTGTCACCTATAAACAGTTTTCATTATCTCTTAATTTCAGATTAAATAATAACTATTTAAAAATTGTCTGATAGAGGTGATTTATTTATTTTATATTTTAATGTGCGTTTTAAAAATAAAGGAGAAATATAAAAAATGCAATATAAATGAAATGCAGTAATGCTCTGAATTTATTGAGAATTTAAAAAAAATAATAAATCTGAAACTTTACATCTCTAATACAAAATAAGTAATTGATGATCAGAAATATGAGATTCAAAACACCCTTGATTGCCATTTTTAAGACCAGCCTGCTATTTCCCTTAACCTAGCAAGACTGGCGATCACAGAGTTCCTTCTAGTTATGGTCTCACTTCAGAATATTTTTAAAATCTCAAGATCTAAATGATACTAGAGGTATTTATGTAACTTGTAATATTACGTGTTATGATGCCAAACAGTTCGCATGAATCTTTAGTGAACGACACCTAAAGGTGCTCACATAGTGGAAAGACAACAAACATATGCATTTCTAAAGAACAGCGCATAGTAGAGCAGAGCGCTACTGCTAGGGATAAGAGCGAAGAAATCAAACATGCTTGATTTCGTCGCTATGATTTTTCCCAAAATTGACGTTTATCTGCTTATTACTGCTGCTAATTGATGCTTATGCGTTTATATTATCTGATCACTACTGAAAATGTTAAAACTGTTGTAACGATTTGCAAATAACAATAATTCAAAATTTTAATCTTTATAACTATAATAATTCACAAAGGTTTTTTTTTTGTTGGTACACCATATCTTCGTCAATCCTTCATAATATCCAATGATTGACCACTCATTTTTTAAAATTTCTTCTCCTTCAGGTGGGAAAAATTTATATCCCCCTGAAATTTCAGGAAAAGATTATGAAGAAAAATAAACTTTATCTGCAAATAACTCGTACATTTTTTTTGTATTGTACTCATGATCGAAAGACTACTTGATTACCCAAAAATCAAAATTATTATCTGAGATACATGTAAAAATAATTCGATAAATGATGTACGTATAAATGATGATTCGATGATGAACATAGACAAATGTAATTTGTAAAAATTTTGGTTGAAACATTAGCGAAGTTTTTCTTAAGAACAGTTATTAATTTTCTTTTCCTTCATCAATTAAAATTGCCACAAAAATAGGAAATGATTGTTTTATTTCAATATTATTTGCAAATTATTCACATGGGCCAACTAGTTTATAATTATTTCCATTTGAAATTAACAAAAAAATGAAGAAACTCAAATAAATTTATCTTTTAATTTACAAAGTGAATGTAATAAAGTATTTTTTTACTGTACCTTTCTATTTAAGTTTTTTGTTTGATCACTATTTTTGTAAATATTATTTTTCTATTCTTTTCTAATTTATAAAAATATTGAGAATTGATGTTCATGATGTTTTATGCTCTGAAGCCTTATATAAAAAATAACATTGATACAACATATAAAGGGCATTAAAAAAAAAGTTAATTCAGATAAAAAATTATTTAAATAATAAATTAAAAATTTGTTCTATTAAACTGATGTGTTTTCTTTAATTGAAAAGATATAATAACTATTGATTTGATTATTAGGATATTATTTATGAAAGAGTAATTTATACAAGTTTCTTTTTTTTTCAATTATAAACTACATAACTAAATAATGCAAGCGTATATTCTTAAAATCAAGTCAGTTTTCAGTCCTTCCCGCCCCTCATCAAAACCCGATGTGTGATCTTTTTACTAGTAATTATGGGAAGGTAATAAATAATTTCTTACAAGTTTCATCTTAATTTTTTAAATGTTGGGGTCAATTCCTAACTGCACCGTACTAATAATCTTTTTAATCAATTAGAGATGAATCTCAACTTACATTGTAACAAACCTCAACTTAATTAATATAGGGCTTAAAGATCATGAAATAAAGAAATTTTTCTAAAAGTGTGGTATCTTCAGTCCAGTTGGACGATCATAAAAAAAAAAAATCTCAAAGAATTTTTAATTTTTTAACTCCTTTAAAGTCTCTATTAAATGATTTTCAAAAAGACAAAATTGATTTGCATTCAATATAAATTTTATCGTGAAATAATTGATTGTGACCTAATTATATTTTTTTTATTACTTTTAATTTAATAAAAAACAAGATTAACTTCAAAAACACAAAATTAAAGATTTCAGGTTTTTGTATGAAATCCCTCCATGGTATATAGTTTTTTTGTTGTATTTTCGTTTGTAGGTTTCAAGGTTTGCTATCACATAGTATCAATTATATGAAATCAATGTCAATCTAAACTTCATATCAATATCATGAAATTCTCGACTGATGGATATCGAATCCAATTTTCTTGTCAATGACTTTTTTGAATCATCCAAACAAAGAAACTTTTAATAATAATTTGAACTACCAAAAATGTTATAAAAACTAATTAAACTTCAATATGGTATCATCTATTATGAATAATATCAATTTCATGGTTTAGAGCAATTTTTGCTTAATGTGGAAATTCGATTAATAAATCTCATAAATGTCTCCGTAACCATTGATTTTATCAAAAAATGTATAGGATCATTTTTGTAGAGATTTTAAAGCACTTTAATATTGTACTGAACAATCTTTGAGAATAACCTCATATTTTTTGAGATATCCTCAAAATATCATAAAAAATATATGCAAACATATGCGGTCACCTTTATAGTTGCTCTGCTTATCGCTCTGCTCGTCGCTCCACTATGTGGTTACCCTTATGGTATCATGTTAAAGGGTGTTACCTATAGTAGGTTAAAACCAAAACTGCAATTGTTATACTTGGGCTTCATTTGTTGATTTCAATTTTTAATTGTATTCATTATTTTTCTTTATTAATACACTGTTTAATACATGAAGTGTGACGAACATAAATTTGAATAAATAGGGAAATTTGAAAAACTTCATCATGTTTTCAGTAACTTTGTAAACAGATTATTATTCTTTTTTGGCAAAAGTTTTCTGGATTCCTTCCGCATCTTTTCTTACATTTCCTTTTGATTCCAACTTCTGTAGCAAACAGAAACCTACTGAGTATTTGTTTAAATATTTTATGCTTCGTGTGAATTTGTTCTGTTTCCAATCTGACATGGCTGCTTGAGGTATTTATAAGTACATGCAAAAGGTGTTTGAAGTATGATGAAAAATCCATATTATATAATTCCCAATTTTTCGCACTATCTGTTAATGATAAATCGCTCCTAAAATCAATTGAAAAAATTCTAAAATACCATTATATTTCCTATTTGATTTGAGGTGAAGATGGTTTCTGGGGTTCATCAGATAAGACTGGAACGGAAAATTTACCAAATACTTATCTAACACATATATTTTTCATTATGAAACAAACCTCGCACACACAACAAATTCTTAATGAATTATTCTCTTTCTATCTCTTAGAGCTGTAAACCCCTCAGAAATGAAATTCTTTATAAATAACTTAAAAGCCAGATTAAAGCTTCATAGATCCTTAGAAAACTTTCAGAAAAAGTGATATATTCCTTACTCATGTGTGTCCTTCACACAATTAATTTTCCTAGGACGAGGAAACACTTCACAACTATCTTATAATCAATTTTAATCATTGATTGATTTTTTTTTTTAATTGAGAAAAAGTAATATGTTTTTTAATTGGAATTGACTGTGAAACACTTTTTGTTTTTTTTTAAATCAGTACAGATAAAGATTATGTTTAATGAGACATGCAACCACTTAACCATGGAAGCCATGAAAAACAATCAGCTAATATGATGTTAATAACAAATTATAATAAAATGATAAAATAAGGTTCCAATAATGAATAAAATAACAACTTGCCTAGTTTCATTTTGCAGTGTACAAGCATCTTCTGATTCTGTAACAAACAAAAAGCTGTGAAATTACGTTAATTCTTTAAATGTTTATTTATTTATGAACAAAATTTATACATAGATGTGTCACGAAATTTCACTTGTATTAAATATGGGTGATATATGTATTTCATATACATGATTATAACACCATAAAGTTTATTAGATGAACTAAATAATGTATAGCATTTATATAGAAAAACAGACATTCCTTTAGCAGACTCCAACATGTTTAAAAGTTTATTCTTGCCAGACCTGTAGCTGGAAGGAACCTATAGTTGATTTTTTAAATTAATTTATTTTTAATGGTATTGAAATGATTGACCGTAATTATAATTTGTGAAGAAGTTGGTCAGGGGTGCAGTTAATATATAATACTATATATTATATTATATTTAATTGTGTTTGCCAACGTCTTGACCTATCTTATAGGTTTTCACCAGAGCTAAGAAAGACACAAACTATAAATATTGATTGGTATGAGGTAAAAAAAAAATAATCTATTAAATAAATTTTTGATGCTATTTATTTGATTAAATGGACTTGGTCATATACTCCTCAGGTCTATGAAACATGCATTTATAATCTAAATTTCAGGTAGATGAAACAATGGTGCACAGCTGGTTATAAAATAATTTCATAATTATCATATCTATAATAGGTTTGGTGTAGCTAACTTGCTTCCATACAAAACTTAAATAAATTTTCCATATTTGAAGAAAAAAAGTTGAGGGTGGGAAAATATAAATATATATATATGTCATTGGTTTATTTCAAAAAGTCATTAAGAGCATTTTTGATATGATACTTTATTTATTCTGGGACAGGTCTCTTTAGAATAATATACAGAAATAGAGATGTGGGCTTTGTAGCCTCAGAATATAATCACAAAAAATAGACATAATAAATAAAAATATTTAAAACCAACTAATAATAATTTATATACATTTTTACAACAACATATATTTACAATTTTATGGGGACTAAACGGATAAGAGGGGATTGAAAAGATGGGATTTAATAGGGGGGTCTTGGGTATTAGTAGGGGGGTATTGTAGCGACAGATGCAGGAAGGGATAGAATTCCATAGGGATGAGGATTGGATAATGAAAGATCTGTCGAAAGCAGCTGTTCAGTGGGCCCTTGATACAAATCTGAAGACCAGAAAAGGGTTTTGCGAGGGTAGATAGATGATTTGAATTGAAGGAGCTTAATATTAAACAGGTTAATTTTCTAATATGTTTTTGAGATTTTTAACCTTATTTATTTATACAAAACTCTGCTAGTGCATGAAAGTGACACAAACACTTGTAGTTACACTAAGTGCAAAATGTTCTGATTTTTCAAAGAGAAAATTCTTCAAACTTCTGAAATTTCAATTGATGAATTTTTGCAATAGAACGACTATACATACACACAATAGGTTAGTTTAGATCCCTTTTCCAGCTTTTATTAGAAAATATTAATAAAAATTGTACTTGAACAGGCCCTCAAAGTCATATTCTACGTTACATGATGAATACAATGCGTAACACATTTACAAAAAATTTTAAATATTAATCTGTCTAAAGAAAAATTATCACCTGCATCACCAAACTCCTCTTCTATAGAAGTTTCATCAATATATTCATCGCTAAGGTCATCTTCGGGAGCTGTAGAAAATTCTTTTTCCCCATCTATTCTATTACAGCTTTTAATTTTTGATCGTAAATTAGCTTTCAGATCCGCATAATTATACTTGAGATCATTAATCTACAAACAGTTTTATTAGTAATATAGTTTTATTTTAAATTAATTACATTAAACAAGGCCTACAGTAAGAATCGTAACTGAAATTATTAACATAATTATCAATAGTTAAATCTATTGTAGTAGTTCCACTCAGAACAGAGGACAGAGATGAACTCCTTTGGTGAGTAATGCCTCAAATATCCCAAGATCAATTACCATGCACATCTCTTGAGAATAGTACACTAAAATACTCTCACATTACAGTTGAAGATCATACAGGGTACAAGTACATATCCTAGTGTTATCTTCCAAAGATAGCATCCTCAGATAAAGCAAACTGAGAGGAAGTCTCTACCTGACTCAAGGGCAGATCAGCTAGATTATCCACTCCACTTAAATTAAAACCAATCGTGAAAACTCGAAGAGAAATAGCCTTACTGATTAATGGAATCATTCGATTTTAAAACTGGTCAAGAGTCCACCATAAAATATTTACTACAAAAAGAATATAACGAAATGTAGAGTCATACTGATAATATCAAAATAGATGCCAGGAGAAATTGCCTGTTTTTAAGAATGTTTGCTGACTTAGAAATTTCCATGTTGGATCTATTTGGTCTCAAGACCTAACAAATCCTTTAACTTGGTTAAGTACTTCAACCAAAATGAGTTCATCTAAGAAACACCTTAAGACACTTGAATGTTTAAAAGAGCCTTAAGAAAAATCATCTTTTCTATTAATTACATAAGCAATGTAATGATGTGCAAATCAATGTTTAGCAATCAATTTCAAAACCTGGTCATGGGTTCACTTCACTTTAGTCACAGTGACAATAACACAACTAGGAAAATGGTGGGATACGGAACATGTTTTGAAGAACTGTATGTTTTCTGAATGCAAGGAATGGTGGTATAGTTTACTTTAGAACTTCTAATTCTTAGATCAATCAACCTAACAAAATTATTTTGCATGGTTAAGTTTATTGAGCCAAGTGAGTTCATCCAAGAAACTTAATCGTGTAAAAGGGTTTTAAAGACGCTTGAAACAAGCTGCACATTAGGAAGAAATTGGATCAACTTCTTGTGGGAATAATAACAGAGGGTCTACCTCATGACCAGTGGAGTGATTGTTTGCAAACAGTTAGAAGAGAGGCTAAAGAAACTTTAGGAACAGCTGAAAGAATGAAACGGATTTGTTGCCACAGCATGTTTTCTGTTATCCATTCGATGCAGAGATTGAAATCAGACACTGTATGTTCATGGTTTACAGTCTATTTTTAAAAAAGAACATGAGAGATTTTAAGAAGATAACCATGGGAAGAAGGTGCGTGCGTATTGGCTTATAAAATTGTCAAATGTTCAGCTATGTGGTTGGGCTTCTTAAGTTAGAAATTTGTCTCTGGTACTCAGTATACATATAGACAGAGTGATCAGGATGACAAAAAAAAAGTGCTGGGCTAATAATATCCACAAGTAAATTTAAAGAATAATCCAAATAAAAGAATTTATATACAGAAACATTTTTTATTTAAATAACAGTTTAAAAATATAGGTATCTCTATTAGCAGTAAATAAAAAATTAACTGTACATAAAAAATAAGAAAAGAAAACTACTAGAAACAATTGAAAGGAAGTTAATATCTTAAGATAATGTAGAACTTATTACTTATTTTCAAATATTACTTCAATAATTGATGGAGGCTCCACATAATTTTGACATATGTCGAAACTATTAAGTTTAGAAAATTTATTTAAGTTAGGCAAAGAGATAAACTGATTTGCATATAAATCAAGAACTTCAAGGTTGACTAAGTGTTCAAATCCTTCAGTAGAAGCTAACTGAAAATATAAAAAAGAGAAAGGATTAAAATATAACAATAAAGATTAAAAAATAATAATAATAATAAGTAGAAATAAACAAACCTGATTTGAACTGAGATAAAGCTCTTTTAATGACACAAGTTCATTCATTTCACAAGGTATAATACAGAGGTTGCAAGACTTGGCGTACAGTACAGTTAATGAACATACATTTTTTATTGAAGCTGGCAGCCAATGAATCATATTATCAGAAATATCCAAGTACCTATCACAAAATTTATCTTACAAAATAAAAACATAAATACTAACATAATGTTGCTTTCTGATATTTCTACAGATAAATCGATATCTTTTCTTTAAACAAATGTGAATTCTAGAACTAAGAAAACTTTATTTTCTAGATTTATTAGATATAAACAGAAACATTTACATGGATGTATTAAATGATGGAAATTATTTGGGATATTCAATTGTTACTGAAAGCAATGAGCTACAAAAAAAGCTTCCATAAGAGTGCTCTGTCTTCAAGAGAGAAGACACCACCATCAAAGTTCTCTTGTACATCTAAACAGACCACTTTCAAAAACACGTTATTGTAACCGATTCAATAAAAATTAAGGATCCATCATCCAGCAATTAAAGAAATACATAATTTATATGGCACATTAAAGTAAACAAATTAAGAGATAATTATGATATGAGTACCTCTCATTGTGGTGTCTGAGGTAATGAGAGACCCAATGCTATTGCCAACTCAACTTGGCAACAAAATATTCGAAAACAAAATACACAAACAATAATAATTTAGACCATCCCTAGAGAAATCTAGAACCATCAACTTGCCTTATCATGTAAAGAAAAATGGAGTTTGAGTTAAGTAAAACTTAGGAAAATTAAGAAAATGTAAAAGTTCAAACTGAAGATTAAGATGGGAAGAAGTGATCCTCTACCACTTATGTATTGGACACTGTGAGTATTTTATTGAATCAGACCGTTGCTGGAGATCAATAACACTTTCACAGTTACTTTATCCAGTTTAAACAGATCTTTTAACTCAGCTGCTAGAGTTTGATATTTTCAATTTTTTTTGTTTAGACTGAATCAATATTACAATCATTTGGCACAGTGTATATTATTCCAGCTGTCTTCATGTTACCATCCATCATGACTGTTATAAAAGATTGATTCCAGTATAGTTTTGTTCCTACCCTCTGTACAAGTTCTCTAAGGTTGCACTTATAATAAGGCATTAACATAACCAGTATTTCCATCCAAGACACTTCCCTTCTCCTGTTTATCCCTTAAGATTCCTTTCTACCCTCTACTTGGTTTGTTATTTATATAAATAACCTTCCTCCCCTGAGCCAATATCGTATCTATACCAACAATTATCTTCCTTCCAATCTATTAACTATCATAGAAAAATTTCAAGAAGACTTGATTAAAATCTGTCAGAGGGTAGAAGTTAAGGAGTAGTAGTTGAATAAGGGAAAGACAAAGGTAATAATAATAGGCTTAATCATCTCACTTAAATTGTTCCTGGTATCCCAGCCCTGTTCTGAAATAATCATCCCATAAACTAAATTTGTTCATCAGGCCATGTACAGCAGAAAATATCCAACAAATATTTTTTGTATGAGCCTTCCGGAAGGAGTCATTCGTAATATAATGATTAGGTGTTACATATGGTGGCCATTTCGAAGTTTTGAAGTCCAAAAAAGAAAGCAAATAAAGTTAAAAACTAGTAAATACAAAGAAACATGAAACAAAGATATAATTTTTATATTTATCAGCAATAATTATATTTATAACTTTAGAACACGTGAATGCAATTCACCGACCCTAAGGCAAAACAGACACTTTGCAAAATTTAAATATACTAAACAATGAACTTCTTATTTTAAATAATGATGTATTCTTAATAATTTATTTTTACTTCATCACATCATAATAATAATAATAATAAAAAAAGAAACCTATACCACTGCAGCCCATGAAGAGTCTTGGGTTCAGTACTTTGTAATGAATACTGGTTCTTGGTCAGCAGTTGTGCAAGGAGGTGACCTGATCAATTGCTCAACCACTATGTTTCCCCTTTAATTAATTATTTAATTAAGAGTACCCACTTTTACAGAGACTGGATGTGCTCCAGGCGGTACTTCCAACCGCAGTGTCGATCTATGGCCAATGGAACAGAAAAAATAATATATCTGCCATTAGCCAGATTCGAATCCAGGACCTTGAGCATTACAAGTCAGTGCCTTAACAGTGGACTACCCCACTCCCCAACATATAATGTGTAAATACATATAAATTTTAATAGGAAGTTTACCTCAGATTTGATAAATCAGTAACAGAGCTTGGAACACCACCCAGTCCAATATTAACCATCACAAGTTTTTCAATGGATGAAGGTAATGAACATTTTAGATAAGAAACAAAGTTTGAAGTTTGAGGCTTAATACCAATATTTCCAAAATCTAAAATATTTAAACTTTTAAAATTAAGCAGATAGCTGCAAATAGCTTCTCGAAACTTGCAATTCGATAATTTCAGTGTTTTTATCTTACCAGCAACCTAAAATAAGAATTTCAATTAAATAATAACTGAAAGAAGGAAATGCTTGGAAAATTTAAAATGTATTACATAGTGAAACATGGCATCTGATGCAAATAAATAGCGACTGGTGTGCATGTCTGTGAAGTTCCACAGTTTTTATTTCAAAACAACTGCACACCATAACTATTACTGCTATTTCTCACTTAAAGCAGAAAATTCTATTAAAATAAATACTGAAGTTAAAAAATTATACATGTACAATCTTAATCTGCCACTACACAATTTTGCTGGAATTGACAGATACCATGTTTTACAACTGAGTGCTAAAATATTTTTAATATTATGAGCAAAAGCACCATTTCATAAGTAAAAAGCGGGAATCTTACAATTTTGTCCGACTAGATGGCTCTATGGATTAGTGCAAACAACAAAATATAAAACAGGCATTTAGACATTCCAAAAAGAAATTAATCAGAAACAGAAACAAAATGCTTACAAATTTCTGTATTTTCTGAGAAACAAATATGGCATATATTGGGAATCGCATTTGACCTAATCTGTTATATTTTTAATTAAAAAGAAACTAAAAAAGACAAAATAAAAGAAAGCATAAAATTCGTCAAAGGAGATTGTGGATGAAGAAAATTCATATAAATCGTACCAGGTACTATTAAATTGGACATCTCTCAAGCAACACAGACAGTAAACAAGTGTCTAAAAGCAAAAGTAGCACTTAAATGAACTCCATTAGATTTCTCTTGAAAACTGACAACAGATGTAACAGAGACAAATAAGAAACAAAACACTAACTTAAAGAAGTAATGAACATTTAGACATTTGTGTTTCCCAGAGTTTGTGAAATGTTTAAACATACCTTGAGTTTTACATTTTTTTTTTATAAAACCCTATTTTATTACTGAGCCATAAAAGTGCTTATTAAAAAATGAATAAGTAGGTTAAATAATGATTAGAAATAGTTAGTTAATTTTTGTAAAATAGTATTTTTATATAAAGTATCTCTCTCATTACAATCATCTCTTTTTACTTTCCTACCTATACTAGGTAAGGAAAGTATTGCGATCGGGTCAAATTTCCCGATTCAAAAGTTTTCGACGGATCTATATGCTTCAGAGTCTCCTGAGTCTGAAAAACACATTTTTAGCCATTGGTCTGTCTGTGCCAAAATTTTCTCGGGAACTACTGAACCAATTTTGTTGCTTCTTTTTTTATTTTGTAGGGTTTTGACTACTGATGCCTTAGATACAAATTGGATAGAATACAAATTCCATGCGCAATAAATGGAAAAACATGTTTTTCTATAGACTGTAGCTGTAAACGACTCTAACGATTTAGATGAAACTTTCCTACAATATTCTAGTAATTGTCCTTTCAATTTTCTTGCATTGACTAAATTCTCAAAAAAATCAAGAAAAAAGTTATTAAGAAAAGAAAAATACGAAAAACACCGTTTAGCTTTTTTGAAATTCCCTACAAAACTATACAAAAATCGTTCATGTTGGACAACTATTAACAAAGTTACAGCTATTCAGTTTCCAATGTAAGATAATGGGTACCTATCTTGGTGTCAGACAGAGATGAATGAGAGATGAAATAAGTGAAAGCAAGAAAATCTGTTGCCCGCATCACACAAGCTTCACTATTTCCTCTACTTTTAACGAAAATTATTATTTGACAAAATTATTCTATGGCAAAAAAATTTTGATCAGCAATATTAGAGGCTATTGAAATTTTTACACTGATCTACCTTAAGCCAGTTTACATTGCTTTAGTTTATCAAATAAATCATACTCAAATCTTATCTTTGATCTATTTTCAGGAAAATAAATCTAATTCAATTTTCTTTGATTCTTTATGGACATATGTAAAGATATAAAAACTTTTCTGAAATAGGTAGGAAAGTTGTGTGAGTGGACACACCAGATTTTTTTATTTGCATTTCCATTAATTTAAAAATTGACCATAGGGAGGAGTGTCAGTCAGACATAGGTGTCCGTTAAGAAAGGTTTCACTGTTTTAAAATATCAAATCAATTGAAACTAATCAATTTTCAAGTTATATTTAATTACAAGATATATTATGATGAAACTAACTAAGTAGATCTAATACAATATCAAGATATTTTAAAATAAAATAGATTTTCATTGGAGCATACTCATTCACACTTGAAATAACAGAATATCAGTTTACTTATTTAGAAATACAGAAAAAAAAATTACCTTATTTTCAGAACATGTGTTCTTATTTTCAGAATAATCTTCAAAGCAAGAATTATTTGATAAATCAAGGTATTCTAAATGACTTGGTAAATCATCTAAGAGCCAAGAAGGCGGTTCACATAAACAATTCGAGCTGAGATCGAGATGTTGAAGTTTAGGTAGGCAGCAAGGGGGTTTTCGAATACAAGTAATTTTGTTATTAGATATATTTATAAATTTAATAAGATGAAGTCCGCTGTATAATGCAGAGGGAAACTCATGTAAGAAATTATAAGAAACATTCAAGATTCTCAATTTTTTTATATTAACAAATTCATCGGGAAGCTTTTCAAGTTTATTTCCAGAAATATTTAAATCAGTGATATAATCTAAAGAACAAAAACTAAAAGGAAAGTCCAACAAGTGACAATTAGATAAATCTAAACTTGTTATGGAGTTGGTTTGGAAGATTTCTGCAAGTTTTAACACTTCACTTTCCTCTAAATTATTTTCATTGTTAACGACTTTACACAATTTTTTACTTATTATAATATTTGGTTCACACTTTCCAACACATATTTCAGTATTAAGTACAGCCAAATCGTCCATAATAATCTATAAAAGAAATAACTGACATCAGTAAAAGATAAAGAAAGATGAAAAACAAATACATCTATCCTTTTTTGTTCAATAAAAAGTTCTTAAGATTATGAATATACTTTTATTTAAATAAATATAAATATATGAACAAAAATATATTAGCATCTAACGCTTTTTGTAAATTTAGGTTTTGGGGAATGGCGGATTCCTTAGAACTAATTTCATAGATTGTTAAAAGTATTAAGAAATTTGTTTTCTTAAAATAATAACAAAAACAGTTACAGTGACTGCTTGTTCCAGGTTAAACATTGATTATAAATTGTTACTTATAACCATAAAAGTGTTGGTTTGTTGTTTACCATGTTTTATAACAAAGTCCCTCAATTATAATTAATGCTGTTCATTGTAGTTATAGATTTATTTTTTTTATGAAGTTTCCAATAATGATCTACTATTACATTGAAATAATAAATTAAAATTAATAATAGTATTGTTCTTGTCAATTTATATTTCAACAGCAGGATTTTCACATTTTTAAATCTAATGTTTAGAAAAGAGACTCCTAATCAAAATCAGACTTTTAAATGAAAGATCCCTAATTTTTTAACTTACACATCACTATTACATAAGTACCCTTAAAATTACCTCTGCATCCAGGAATCATGTTTGAACAACTTAATCTGTTATTTATAATATACTTTCAGTCCCACATTACAAAATATTTCTCATTTAATCCTCTTTATATGTACACATTTGCATACCTGGATTTTCGCAAAAATATTTTGTTTTGTAGTGAAAGTTTCCAATGAAGTATTGTGTCTATTTATATACTAATTCACACGTATTACACCAACATAGAGGCTGGGCTATGGTCTATCCTCATCAAATTGATCAAACTGCAGATAGAATTGAGCAAGAAGCCAAGTTTGTCAAAAAGTAGAAAGAGGTGTCCATATTCCTTTAGAATAAATTATGAAAGGTATTTGATGATGGACTGAAAGGGATTCATCTCTAATGAGAAGAACCTATTACTTGTTAAGTACCCAACCTTAACTGAAAAGGAACTATTAGGTATTTATTTTAATCAAGTCCAATCCTATGATCAGCAGTAATAATATTAATTAACATTACAAGTGTGAGGATATACCTATAAAACCCGGTTGTCAATAGTATGTACAATAGTCCAACAGTCCTACCATGTTGGAGTGACAATTGTGAAATACCAATCATTAATAGTTATCGGAGCCTATTTCTGTCCATTCAATTGATTCATTTCCTACTCTCTTCCTTCAGATTTTGTCTGATAGTATTTCACCTGATTAAGAGAATTTTTATCTTTTCCAATTCACTTTCTAATCCTTTATGGTATTATTAGTAAACGCTGTTTTTATAATGTTTATTATTGAAAAGTGATTACTGTAGAGTGCACCTGTTACAGGCTTCATTACTTACCCTCTTTTATTTACTTTCCCAATACTATTCCAGAATAAAAACAAAGACAGACCAAACTAATCAAGATGTATACTTGCTATGCCAAGAATTTTGTATTTTACAATACATTTTTATTCAGATCTCAAACTTTTAAAGAAATCTAATACATTTGGCTATCTAAATAGCCCAACTAATAACTCTTTTAGAGATCTCACTAAGCCTTTTTTAGTGCCAAAACTTTTCATGTGATCTATGATGTGATATGACTTTATTTTGGTACTCCATGATCACAGACATATGCATTATTATAATTATATACCATTAATTTCCGGAATTAGGAATTAAGAAATGACTCTATTTCGATTAACATTGATAAATTTATTATTAAATTTCAGAATAACACTCACCAAAAGTTTGATACATTAAGACCTATTCCATAAGATAACAGTAAAGAACTTATTCAAAACTTGTTGAATATGTTTATTATTATGTAAGTGCGAACATAAATATATACATATACAAATTGGATTAAAATATATAATACTTTTATATTAATAGAATATAGTTTAAATGTCTTAACCCACTACAGGGGAAGATGATGAAGGTTATAAATCATGAGAAAAAATGTAAACATAAATTAATAAAGTTAATGCAAAGAGGTCGAGAAAAAGTAAATAAATGTTGTTTTGGTAAATGATTAAAAACTAAATAAATGGTTGGTGTGAATTTTTTGCCTTATATATTAGGAATGAATGAATGTAAATCAATCAGCATGATTACTTATTGCCCAAAAGTGATGTGTTATATCGCCAAATAAAAAATTGATTCCAAGGTGAAAATGTAGGCATTATAAGGTATCCCTCCCCATTTTCGTTTGGAAAGCACATGAAAAATTAATGATTTAATAGTTGATTATTGTTCATTGATCGGTTCATTTATTGATGTTTAACAGTGTAAATTGAATACAATTCTAAAATACTTTTTTCTTGTTTTGTTTTTGAGCATTTTATAATTCTCTTCTGAATTCAATCCATCGAAGTGATAGGTATGAAAAAAACAATTTATGGCCCACAGAAGGTACTCCTTCACTCCATTTCACAAGTATAGTATCATCCTTTCTATAAGTACTTAATTGGTGATCTAAAAAGTGCCCTAATAAAATTCCAAAGTTCGTTTAAACTCTCACTGTAAGGTACGGAATTGTTAGGTCTGGACTGGCAGGCCTTCAGTCCTTCCAGAAATAAGTGTGGAGTCTTTTGAGAAAACATTTTGTTGATTAACCAGTCTTTTGTTGGAAAGCATGTTTCTTTATTTTTTTATTTCTTAAAGACATTTACAACTGTATTAAATAAATACATCTAGTAAATTAGAACATAATGTATATAATGACCTGAAAAACACTTGCTGAATAACTACCCAATGGTAGCACTCTAATGATATGTTTACATTAGGAGATCACGGGGCCATCTTCTTTTCAGACGCCTCGGAGGGTTATCAGGAATTGAAGAGGAAGCAAGGTTAGAAACGAGAGGGTTGGGATGATTCTGAAGATTATTATGGAAGGATAGGTATCTGGATTGGGCCAGATCTGAAACAAAAGGAACATTAAGGTCATTATGGATGGTTTTATTTGTAACAAAGTAGGGAGCATTGAGGATTTTGGATTGTAAGGATTGGATACGAGAGGAATTTGATGGTTTAGTGGAGCCCCATACCTCAACTGCGTAAGTCCAAATAGGCCTTATTATAGTCAAGTATATGAATCTTTTGTAATTAATTGGAAGATTAGAGCGTTTGTCTAGTAAGGGCTGAAGTAATCGGAAACGTCGAGCGGTTTCTTGCGTTTCAGTCTAGTATGAGGATTCCAAGTTAGTCGTTTGTCCAGATGGAGTCCTAGGTATCGGATTTGCTCAACATGGATAAGTGGAGTATTGTTAAATGAAACTGTAGGACAGGAAGTTGTTGGTTTACGACGAAGGGTAAAGGTGATTTGGTGGGATTTATTGGAGTTTATTTTAATTCTCCAGTTTTGACACCATTCTTCTAGATTTATGATGTGTGATTGAAGCATTTGAGATGCAATTGCTGGTTCATTATTTACTGATAGGAAACATGTGTCATCGGCATATGTGGTGATGACAGTGTTGGAATAGGTAGGGTTGTCAGCTGTATAAACTGTATAAAGGATAGGGCCTAGGATACTACCTTGAGGAATTTTATTTTTTTAAATTTTACTTCTTGCGCCATAAACTTATTTTGCGCCTTATCTTGCAAATGCAGTCCCATGCAACTATATAAGAAACCGCTAATTATTACCTTCCATTGGTGTCATGATTGTGTAGGCATGAGAAATGCAGAACTAAAATATTACACTCCAGTGACTAAGAGTAAATCCTGCAGTCATTTATCAGGACAATTTACTTGGGCAAAAAACTCAGTGTATGGGCCAAGTTTCGGAAGAGGGCTATAAGTGAATGGCGGTCTTAAGTTTACAGAACCTTCCTGATAATATTTTGTTAAAAAATGCTTATCATATCAGATTGAGTAGTAGATTCTGGATGAAATGAAAGGAATACATGAAAAATGTCTGAAAAATCGACGAGAATGTAGAAGCTTAATTTATCAAAACAATTAAGATCTTGTATAAACGTAAGTTAAGTATTACACGAAAAAATGCAGTTTAGAACATTTATTTCCACTCCCTACCCCATGCCACTGTGGCAATACAAGAGTATGCAGGATAGGCGGATTTGTGGGAGAAGAGAAGGGAGGGGGCTTTCAGGCCGAAGCCCCTCTCTCTCCCAAAATGTTAAAATATAACCATATTTTACAGATAAAAAATATTAAAAACTATTTTTTAAAGTATTCTTGTTCGTGTAATTACATTTAATAGGACTTCAAGAACCACTTAAACACCATTTCATAAAGTTAGTTAATTTCTTTCTTTTTTTTCAAATTAATTATAATTATATAATAATAATAAAACTTTATTTATTCTGGGACGTGTCCCTTTAGAATAATACAGAAAGACATAAATGTGGACTAAGGAGTCTTAGAGATACATAAACAAAAATACAGACTAATTAAATAGTCATAATACAAAAAACATAAGTTACTTTCTAATTTTCATCATTTAATAACAAAAAATAGAAAAAAAAAATAATGAAGAACGATCTAATAGTTGATATACATATTTACTGTAATATCTATTTACAATTTTACGAGGACTGGATAGATAAGAAATAATTGAATGGGAGTTCCATAGAGAAGAAGATCGGATAATGAACGATCTGTCGAAAGCAGCGGTTTGGTGGGCCCTATATATACATATCAGAAGACCAGGTAAGAGTATTGCGGGAGCGAATAGATGATTTGAATTGAAGAAGCTCGGAGTGTATGAAGGGCGGTGGGATTGGATGACTTCAAAGAGGAAGGATGCCAGGAAATATTTCACCGGCAGAAAGCACTTCAACCACTTCAACTCTGCATAAAAACGGGAAACAGAGGTGTCCCTTGAGATCCCGAAGATGAATTGTACAAAGCAATTTATCGAACGTTTTAGTTTTGCCTCGAGATCCCTAGAGATGCCCCCATATACAGTATAGCAATAGTCAAAGTGGGGAAAAATTAAGGAAATGGTTAGGAGCCTATGAGTTTCAAATGGAAATAGGTGACGGGAGTAATTTAGACGTTTTAAGGTAGAAATGGTACGGCGAGAGTTATCGGATACATGGTTTTTACAGGAAAGCGTTTGATCAAAGATTATTCCAAGATTTTTGATGGAGGGATCAATTTTATGTGATTATCATGTAGGAAGAGAGGTGGAATATTGGGAACAGTTTTAAGGACGTGATTGAAACCTATTAAGATTGCCTTTGGCTTTTCCGTATTCAATTTCAACTTGTTAGCTCTCGTCCAGTCATAAATCCTATTTTTGTCTTTTTGAAGTTTTTCTGTGGCTGATAATAGGTTGATGAGCGGGAAGGACAAGTATATTTAGAAATCATCTGCATAGATATGGTATTGGGAGTGATGGATCAGGAGGAGAAAGTCATTAATATAATTAACAAACAGAGTAGGAGATAGAGAGGAACCTTGAGGGACACCACAGGAGAGGGGGAGGGTCTTAGATGGAGGTTGACCTGTGACGACTACATACTGGGACCGATTTGAAAGGAATATTTTGAACCAACGCAGGGCACTGTTGGATAGAGGAAGATTGTGAAATTCAGTAAGGAGGGTGTTATGGTTAACTTTGTCAAAGGCTTTGAAAAATCTAGGAGGATGAGGATAGTAAGGTTTTGGTGTTCAATGGAGTTTTGGAGGTCATAGGTAATTAGTGGGGCCGAACGGGCTAACGTGTGTGCACAGAGCACCGCCATTGCTCGGCAACCTTATCTATGAGACAATGGATTTCAAATAGTCACGAGTTCGCGTCCCGGTGCCGAGGGAGTCTTTTAAATTCCCGCCCATACCCCCTGGCCCGGGAAAACCCCACATAGCCTTAAAGGCGAGGAAGAGTAGGACCTCCCCCCCCCAAAAAAAAGGTGATAGGTTATTTCAAGGAGAGCGGGTTGCGTTGAGTAGCCAGGTTGCAAGCCAGATTGGTATGGGACGTTTCTCTAAGAAGTTGGAGAGTTGATTTTGAACAAGGCTTTCTAACGGCTTTGAAAGGTTGGATAGGAGAGAAATAGAACGGAAGTCGTGCAGTGAGGTAGGGTTGTTAATTTTATTCAAAGGTCGCCCTAGGATAATTTTCCAGGAGGATGGGAATATGAAGTTTTGCAATGAGAAGTTGTAGATATGATCAAGTACAGGAATAAGGACAGAAAGATGGATTTTATTAGTTTTACTGAAATATTATCAGGACCACAATCATTTGTGTGGGATTTTAGGATATTGGAAAGTAATTCATCGTAGGGCAGATATACATATATATGAAAAAAAAAACTTTTCGGACTGAAGCCCTCCCCAAAAGTAACTCCTGGATCCGCTAGTGGTATACAGTGGAGTGATATTAAGCATTTTGCATTAAAACACACTACTTCAATTGTAATAATATACAAAATTCACAACTAGCTCTTTTTATTTTTAAAATCTTCAAGAATTAAGGCTGAATTCCAGAATCCGGCGGTCTCCTTAGCATTGGCCCTCTTTTGCTTCCTTGGGCACCTTGATTGATTTGACCTGGACTCACCACTCACCAGCCATTTACTAACTCTTTGAACCACGAATCGTTTTCCTCATTTACCAACGGAGAAACTCCTCCTCGGTAAATGGTTCTCATCAACTTGACTCTTAATCCGTCGAAAGAAGTGTAGGCTGTGACCTAATGCTCAACAGTCTCTGCAACACCTCAAGTGGGAAATTGGGACCCTGTGTAGTTTAACTCTATAATCCCTATATTTCATGAGAAATTATGAAACCCAATAGTCCGGGAGGACCCGTTTCGCTTGTAACGATTCGTTTGTATTCCATTCGCTTCCATGTATTCCATTCCCTTGTAACGAGATTGAACGGTGTGGAAGTATTTCCTTAGGGTGCTTTAGGAACCGTCATCCACCGTCTGTTCCACTCTTCAATCGTTTCCTCCCAGATTATCGTTTTTCATTTATTAGGTTTTTCAGTGATCCTCGTCCATAGGTTCTCCGAAAGACCTGTTGAGCCCTCCCTCTTGTAATCATGTTGAAAATTTTAAACAGTTAAAAGGGGTCAGGGACTTCTGCAAGTAATATCAAGCCTCTGGCCTAAGGCTTGAGGGATCCTCGATTGTGTAGGTTTAAATTTTGTTTCCTTTTCTGTGACCTAAGTTTGATCTTTAGGTTAATTTGATCTAGCTTTGATCAAGTCGTGGTTTACCATTTGTTGTAATGTGGTTGTACCATTAAGATCTAGCACTTGGAAAGTAATTAATTTATCTGACGACCTAAATGCACTTCTTAATCCTCTGAAAAAAGTATTTATAACTTGTGAAGTGTGGTTTATTATACAAGTATTTTACATTGACGGTTTATCGTACTGTAAATGGTATTATAAAAATTGAGAAGTGCACTTTTAATGGTGCTATTGCTTAAAGTTTACATCTAACAAATCATTAACGTCATTAAAATAACAAAAATCCTATTAGTTATATCATACTCCATATGATTTTGTAAATCACATAACTCCAGTTTCTGAGCTATATATATGCATATATATGCCTAGAGAGATTTGAAAGTATATATTCAACCTATAAATGATTATGGATCGTACGCCTATTAGTTATTAAACTGTTATTTTCCATTGTTAACTGTAAAGAAATTACACGTTCATCGCCTGCCATAGACAGGTCAAAAGTTTTTGTACTAAATTTAAGCGGATGATGTTTGGATTTCACAAAGAGAAAATTCATCAAATTATTCACTAATTTAATTTTTTAAAAGGTTACATGTCGATTTTTCGGAATAAACGGCCGTTGATACCTGATTACTTAAATAAGATATCAAATCTAGAGTTATTAAATTACAGTAAATGTATTTAAGGTTATAAACATATACTTTATAAATCCATGAAATATTTGTTTATCTCACTTCTTCTTTCACATAAGTACCATGGAATAGTTTTTAAACTTAAATGCCATTGCCTTGATTTGGTGGATTTTAAAAACTTTTTTTTTCAAACTTAAAAAGTTTACATTTAGTTTGTAAATTTCATTTAATTTCCTTGAAAACTGTGATTTCCTTATATAATATTAGTTTTCACAAATCTCTCTCTTTCAATATATATATATATATACATATATACGTATTCCTTCTGATTAGTATTTCTAGAAATTTATTTTCCTTTTTTTCTCCATTTTACAATTATCAAATTCTTTTAAAATATTAGCAAAGTATAAAAGTATTTTTAAAATATGAAAGTTATATTTAGCATTTTTTTGTAACTTTTAATAATGAGAGATGATCGATTATTTAAAATAAATAAAATTAAAGGTATTTTAGTTAATATAAAATATATGTCGTTTGAATTAGTTGCAGGATTACCGAAATCATGTCAGTGTGCTCACAGTCTACGGTCAGGTCAGGTGATGTTAGCCTTTATGTTATTATCTTGCAAACAAAGATATATTTTTTCTAGACAAATTAAAACTTATTCAATCACAGTTAAAAGTTTACGTATACCGTCGAGGATGGAAAACATGGAATCTCATTTAAAGCAATAAACCTTCTATTTATTTTACCACAGTAATTCAAAACGAGTAGTATTATCGACACACAGGGGGGCTGGGTGGCCGAATGGGATAATGCGTGTGCACAGCACCACGAGTTGTCTGGCAACCAGATAACCGAACTTATGAGATTAAAAAAAAGTACGAGTTCGCGTCCTGGTGCCGGAGAGGATTTTAAATTTCCCGCCCTCATTCTCCAGCTTACGAAAATCCCGTATAGCCTAAAAGGCGAGGTAGGGAAGAACAAGAAAAATAAATAAAAATATTATCTGAACATAAATTAAAAGTGAGTGAGGCATTGTGTTACCTTACTTGTTTATTTATTCTACTTTATCATTTATGAAGTGTGTGCTCGTAATTGAAAAAAAAAAAACTTGGCAGTTGATGACTAAATTGTCTTGCACAGCCACAATCAGATGTGCCTATTCCCTCCAAGGTCGATGGCGCAAGAACCTACCTCCTCCCTCTTCCACATTGTTGTATTGTTCATCTTTTCATACAAACAGAGTTAGGGAAAGTAGAATTAGAAAAATCGTAGATCATACACAATTACTCTTGCTGCGGTCTGTTTTTAAATTTTCTCCTTATTCTTTATTCTGAAACTTTTTATTTCTAAAATTAATAATCCCATTGAAATGTGTTCCCTTGACCACAACTTTCTTACAAAGAACTGAACAGAAGAACCTTCATGGGTTTTAGTGGTAGTATTTTAATACCTTATTTTGTTCCTTTTTCTTCCCTTCCTCGCCTTTTCGGCTATACGGATTTTTTTCCGAACAACACGTATTTTACACACGCGTTAGACGGCTCGCCCACCCCGCCTCTCTTTTTTTTAATGTGATGTCTCCATATTCTATTTAATATACTGCTTAGTTATATTTACAAAAGAAAATTATATATTTACCTGCAGTGGCGTACAGTTTTTTCTTTTCAAATAGTTTTGTTTGACAGTCTTCACTTTCAATAACGACGGCATTGTTGCTAACCTTCCTTTTGAATACCTAAGGAGAAATAAATAATATGGATCCGTAACAATACTGTAAATAAACGACTTAGTAGCGACAAAGTTCAAGCTACGGTTCAAATTCCGTTAATATTTTATTGTATTGTCACTTCAATTTTTTTTATCTATTTCTTGATGTTGTCCACCAATATCACATTCTTTTTCAGCATGGAATTTCTTATTACTTGATACCTCATATGTTATTAATTTTTCAATTTTTATAGAAATGGACTTCCATGTTCTATAGTTTGTAAAAACTGAAAAGGGATTTTACAAACATTGGATGCAGTTTTGATTTAGATAAAGATCAAGATGAGATTTTTTTGGATGACGAACAAATTTATTTTAATGTTTTATCAAATTATAAAAAATAACTTATATAATGTAAAATTTAAATTTTTAATTATCAAATTTTCGTTTTTCATTTTTAAATTGTGAATAAATTTAAAAATAAAAGTATTATTTTCAAATATTTGTTAAAAATGTGTTATTAAATGTAGCATTTTCAGTTTTAGGCATCCGTTTTGTTATTTCTGATAATTTTAGAAACCAATATCATGTTCCTTTTCGGTATGAAATTTGCTTTAATTAAATACGTCAAAAGATTTTTAATTTTTATTTTTGATGCATTGTTTTTTCAAGGTAGTTTATTTAACTGCAAAAACAATTCCAGTGACTTTAGTGTCACCGTCAATGCAGAAAAAAAAATCAATCCAATTGTTTTGATGAAAAGCGGTGGACGACCAACGGATGGATTCCTTTAAAATATTGAGGGAAAGGGATTTTTTTTTTTGTATTAGTGTATTAATACTATATTAATTAGCATGGTTGTTTATTGAAAATTATTAACTATAAAATACCAAATATTTGACTATCCTTAAAATTGTTTATTAATTTAAGATAACATTATACTAAATTTTATCACAGCAAGAATCCTTCAGCATACTTAACAATATTATATTATAATTAATATAATACTCTAATTATGGTAACATAATTAATTATTTCAGGCTATAGGAAGAATGGCCATAAACATACAGGCTTACTCTATGGGAGACAATTTCTATTTCATAGCTTTAAAACATCTTTGGTTTATTGCGAAAATCAATAACAAGAAAATCAATACACTTGTGTTGGATTAAAGCTTTCAAATACACACGAATTTCAATCATTGTTGATGAATCAACTCGTGAAATGCAGCACGATAACCCAAAATATATTATATGTATGTTAGAAATAATGAAAGAGTAAAATGTTTTGATATTACAGAGGGAAAATACCCATTTATTAAAATAAACATCTAGATATTTAATTTTGTAAAATGTTATTTAATAACTATTAAGGCATATCGTCGATACAACTGCAAACTATCGAATATAAAAAATGCAATTTTTTCAATCCTGCATTCTAATGATTGTAATTGTAATTAAATATTTTTAAACAGCGATTACAAAATCTTCAAACATTCATAAAAGCAGACATTCGTATGGAAATTAAATTATTATAGGAATTAGAGTGGAGATTTTCAGATTCGATAGTTTGCCATTGTATGGACGATATTAATATTATTACACAAATAAAACAAGAACGAAATACTGAACAGAAGAGAGCTACTGACTTTGCATTGAACCAAAGCTCAGCTAATAGCGACTCTGTACCTGAAATTGTTCTTACTACCACTACTTATAGAGAATATTCCTACTATCGAAACGCATTTACAGTGTAATGTTTCCCTCTTTCTTATATAAAATAATATAACGAAATAAATAATTAAAATTAAAATCCTTATCATAAATTATCCTCCAAAAACGTAACGAATCGTTTTTAATGAGGCAGTCTTCATGTGTCGCTCTCAGCTTTAGCGACGGTATCGCACCACAAGTAGGATGATGCAATCACCTCGTGAACCACAGAGATTTAAATAAATTAATAATATCAGGATATAAAACTCTGCCACTATTCAATCCCAGAAGCATGTCGAGGTGGGTGAATAAAGGATCCGGCACTGGTTTAGAAAATATCACATTCGGTAAGGAATCGGAAAGCCTCTTTATTGACTAAAACATAAATAAAACATTTAAGCTTTCTTTCATATTTTTTAAATATGTTTTCATTACCGATTAAGTTGTTGAATCGTACCGTTTTCGACGTGATTGGATCATTTCGTCCCCACAGGAGGGCGACTGGAGATGTCACGAGACTCAGATTGTAAAAAGGTGGTTTGAAGCTTTCGTATCTGAGATAATTTTCTTCTTCACTTCCATAGTCGAACTGTTTGAATTCTCCTGCAATAAGAAAAGAAAAAAGCTATTTGTACTGGTTGTTGAGTTTTGAAAAATATGTTACTTGAAAAAGTTGTATTAAATTGTGTGTACTTTAATATTTAATTTAAATATTTGAGCTGTCACCTATTAAAAAAGATAATTAGTTAAAACATGAAATTATAAATGTTTTTTTGCGATTTTTCAAAATATTATCCATTTTGAAAGCTCGATAAATCGCTTTCTGTTGGATTTAGAAAACAATGTTAGATAATTTTAAGCTGTTTAAGATTGAATAAAACCATTTTTTTTTTAATCTGTAAAATGGAGATGTTTAGCGTAAACCAAGAAAAGTTAAAAATGTCTACGGTTTTTGGAGCCCTGCAGCGAACCTACAATGCTTTCAAAGACGGAAACTTGCATTATTGATATTCACTACATACCTAACGATATAAAAAAGAAATTTGAATTACACGACCTTTTACAAGGTAGGCCGCTTTCTTTGTGCTAATTTGACTAGACTATTCCTTTTCCTGGAAAAAGTAATCCGTTTAGGCTTTATTCCTTAAGCACAACGTAACCTCGCAACATTTTACAAACTCATTCTTTAATTAACACACTAATAAAATTAATTGTACTTACAATAAATACGTTTATAATGCTTAGAAAAGATTTGTTTTAAAATTTCGTTGATGTGTCTATGCATTGCGCCCCCACAGCTTCTATATCTGCCCCTGGCATGCGTCGCATTGGTTGCATTGCCGTTATTTTCGCTACTGGCTCTTGGCTTAAATAAAGTGAGGATAATTGTTTTCATTCAAAGAAAATACGATGGTTTAAATTGAAATGAATGGCCTTGAATTACACTGGGAAAGTGAAGAAGGAAATCTCCCAATCCATTTACACCACTGCTCTGATTATGTTGATCAATGTCGTTTTTACTGACATTACTACAGGACTGAGTTGAAGAGGGGGCGGGGTGGCCGAATAGGCTAAAGCGTGTATAACAGCACCGCTAGTTGCCTGGCAACCGGATAACAGAGATTTGAGAGACAGAAATAAGTACGAGTTCGCGTCTTTGTGCCGAAGGGGATTTTAAATTCCCCGCCCTCACCCTCCGGCCCGGGGAAATCCCGTATAGCCTACAAATGGCGAGGTAGAGAAGAAGCAAAAAATAAAAAAAAATAAAAAAAAAAAGACGTTGAAGAGATCCCAAAAGGCTCTCTTGTTGATTTCGATATTATGCAGTTGATTACGGCTTATTTGGTTGCATGATAGAGTTCCTCAAATATCGATTTAAATTTGCTGAGATTTTATCACTGAATGCTCAGTAAAAATCGCAAATAAATCTATTCTAGTTGAAAACAAATTTCGATAGAAATTACAGTTTTCTTGGTCCCCGAATTTTTCATATTAAATAATTTAAGCACTAAAAAACTTCAGAGAGATCAAATAGGCACTCAATCTGCAAATATGTTTTAATGAAATATATTTATTTTTAGGCACATAACTGCTTTTTGTTGCAATCAGAGTTTGATGAATTACGAAAACGTATCTATTGGGATTTCAATAGAGTCCAGGACGTTAAAACTATAATTCTGAAAAAAAAGTTTATAACTACCACAACGCCAGCAGTTTAATTCGAAACTGACAGTTCTCGGCTTATCTGTTTACATAATCAACACTTAATCTATTTAAAGAATTAGCTTATTTAATAAAACAACTTATACAAATATAAGCTTAATAAAAATAAATACTTTTCATTATAATTAAAACTATACAATAAGCTTAATTTGGTCTACCTGATTGATATAACTGAGCAAGATGGTATAGACATTTGGTAGATGTTCCTCCGCCATAATAGCTCATAAACAACTCATAATCCCTCTAAATAAAATAAAGTAAATAAGAAGAGATTAGTTGTATTTATCTGTATTAATATGTATATCTATTCAAAAATAAAATAAATCATTTTAAAGTTAATTTTATCTATTTACAAAATATTCTTACCTTATCTAAATTAGACTTGTGTTCACCTGCAAATATTCCCAATAAATCCATGCACAGAGTTTGCATTGCGGATTGTTCGCCGCATAAAAGTTTGAGGGATTTGATCCTATCTGGTGTTCGCAAAACGAAATAATGCTGAGCCATTAGAACTAAACCTCTCTAAAATACATAAATGATTGAGGATAAGTTAAACTTGGCTATCATTGAAAGATATGATAATAAGTATATTATCTAACACGATCCAGATTTTTTTTTCTCTACAGAAATCCTTGTTATTATACCCGACTCGACGTTATACGCTTCATCCTTACTGGTAACTCAAATTCAGCTACCTACGTAGGGTATAGCAACGGAGACGTACTTAACATAAATACGTAAAAAACAAACTCGAAATCAGGTCAATGAAACCAAATTATTTACGTTTTAATGTCAAAAAAAAAAAATTTAACTAACGCATAATTTTACTGTGAATATTTTATTAAAAATATTTACGTTGTAAATCAATGTTGGATCCAGATAACTATGACTGTTAAGTTATAAAAATTGTATTGCCCTCCACCCCTAATATACATAAGCACCTGTATAATTTTAGGAAATTTTCAATTTTACTTCATTTCAGGGGTGCCTAGTCAATTGGGTTATTGTTAGGCATGTTTTTGAATGTTTCGAATAAAATTAACAAAAAATCGAGTCAATAAAACTAATAGCTTATAAATTAAAAAGGTTTTTATAATATAAAATGTCAACAATTACGCATATGCAAAGTTTTCAAAATATTGGCGGTAAATCTTGTTAAAGCAGCTTATTTAGTTCTCCCATACCTGGTCATTTTAGTTATACGAGGTTTTCAGGGTCAGGGGAGACGGCAGTGGATTAATACCAAAAGTGCCTTTCGGCGCCGGAACGCGAACTCGTAATTATTTTATCTTCATTGCCAGATTGCGGTGCAACGCGTGTTTGCACACACACCCTAACCCGCTCGGCCACTCCGCCCACAAAATACAACCCTGCCAGGATTCCATGTGGAATCTTCTGATCCGTAGTCAAATGCGTAATATGTTGCGTCACAGAACTTGTGCTTATTGGAAACAGCTATACAAGTATATATTATTACACTATGAAACGGCCTTCAAGTTAAAGAAGTAGTAACAAACTAAGTTATCTATAGTGTTCTCACTTCCCTCAATATTTCTTAAGTACCGACGTTTATCATTAGGTATTTTTAGTGAAGCTTTCTTTGAGATTAAAAGGAAGATTCTGCTCGAGATGTATTGGTATTGATGTAAAGCGCTTAAGAGAAAATAGGTAAATCTACTTACTACTAATATTAATAGCACTTTGAATTAATAACTTACACATTCGAATATTATTCGAACTTATAACCTTGAAACGATTATTAAAACTGATTTAAAATAAATGATAACATTGAATGATGTTATTACATAGATCACGTTTGCATTTTTCAACAGCATCTGAAAAAGAGGCGACATCTCCTCTAACGTGGGAGGAAATGCAACAGGCGACAGGAGAACTGCAGCTCGTACCTTGGAGTTGTACTCAGGCCTCGAGGAGGTCATTGCCAAGAACACTGTCGTACCTAAAATTAAACGTGACTATATTAGATATAACGGTCAGGGACAGTCAACTCATCAATACAGCAAAAAGGTGAACAAAATTGCCTTTACCAAGCGAATGTCCTACGTAAAATAATTGGTCCGTTCTTCTTATATTGAGTATCGCGTCGATGAAAGCTGGTACGTCATAGTATGCTGATTCGTGAAAACTAAACGAATCAGAACTGTGATTAGTTTTATATTCTTATTTTATTATTTGAATTTTTCCTAGAAATTAAATAAAATATAAACTGTTGTAATTTAACCATACTATGTAATATCCGATAAGGACAAATTATAAAAATATAAAAACACCTCTCGAATCTGAAAATAATTACAGATTAAACTTTTATCACAACCTATTGAACCACATTATACTTATTGTTTATCAAAATCTGGTATCTGTTCAACCGAATAGCAGAAGATCTGTTAAACGGACCTGACACTAAAGGGACTAAAAAAGAAATCTTTATTTAGATTATTTCTCATTTGTAAGTTTCAGTCAACTCTAATCATATGGACTGATACTGTGATTTTTCTTTTTCCTTACCTCATTGTATTTCTTTTCTTCAACTAGTCATTCCAATTATTGGTGTAAGACGTTTAATCCTCTGATCATAAACTGTTATAAATTTCTATTCCTTTTAGTCAAGCTATTATTGTTATTCTTGTTCATATGCTTCTTTCATATTTATTAATTATTTTATTATTACCGCTATATATTAATTAATTAAATTATCATTATATTTTATATTATATTATATAATCTTATAGATCCCAAAAATTGCCGCTTAATATATAATACATATTATATTACGTTATCACTATGTTATGAATTATTATATCATTAAACTACGTTGTATTATTATACTATGTTTGAATTGTATTACATTGAAACTGTTAGAAAAAAAAATGTAACCATGTAAAAATTATTTACTTATTATTAATGGCACCGACCGATAGATGTTGCCATCTGGTCGGACCAATTGTAATTGTTGGTAAACAAACTCTAAACTCTATAAAAAAAAACCCTCTAAATTGTAGGTTTCTTTTTTGCAAATAAAAGAGGCACTTATTTATTTTAAAAAATAAATAAAATGTGTGCATTTATATTAAAATTTATCCGTAAACAATCCTACTAGCATTGTTTTTTCTAGATTAAAAACGAACAATACAATATTATTCATTGGAACACAATATCATTATTGAACTATTTAATAAACAGTTGATATTTTAAAATTTAAAGAAGTTATATGAATAAAAGCATTTAAATTATGCATTTTACACTACCTGAAATCCCAAAACCGAGGATCTGTTCTGTTGTAATCGAGGCTGTACTCATTGTAAACAGATCCCCTAAAGTTTCCAAGCCAAATATCAAATCCTTCCTTAAGTAATATAAATACTGAAATTAGCAGAAAAATTAGAAGTTGAGAATTACTACAGTAAAAAAATAAAAAAAATGCACTTCACATATATTATGTATGTGCTTTATAATATATAAGTTGTATATATTTGATTTAAATTAAGTACCAAGATCTTTTTTCCTTCCTCGTAATATCCAGGATTCACTTGTGACAAATATACCGTGTTGGAATAAAACTGGAGGACCGTTATTATTGCCTATCCTGTGCATCCAAAGGCTGTAACCATCTTCTGTTATTACTTCGACGTTTGTTGCAGTGTAGCCACCTCTGGCTGCCAATTCTTTCTAAAATATTAAAATAATTAAACTGCTCAAAACTTTATTGTTAAAATTTAAAAAAAATTTAATCATCAATTAATTTATCGTCGGTTTATTTCAAAAAGTCATTAACTAAAATTTCATAATTTTATGTCACTACAAACGTGATGAATTTCCTCTTGCTGTAACTATATTTGATATATAAAAAGGTATGTATCATTTTAGTGCGCTTACTATGTTACTATATAATCAGGTCGTAATTCACAAAAACGTTCTTAAAAGTTCAGCTGCATCATAAATGTATTTATCATTAGTGACTTTTTGCAATAAACCGTCATTAACAAATAGGTAAGAAAACGAATTTCGTGTTCTAGTAAATTAACAGTGGATAATCAAATAAAAAATCCGTGGCACTGAAAATATCTCTTTGTTATGTTAGCTAGAAATAAACAAATATTTCATAGATATTAACGATTTAAACTGCTCAAAAATGAATAGTGATATTGCTAGCTATATATAATTTATTTTTCCTAGAAATTTTATTTTATTTCAATTATAAAATAGATTGACAATTAATACAAATAAAATTGTATTGGACCTCGGGGAAAATATATTAACCGTGTTTGAAAAAAATAGCCATTTGGTTCCCCTCTGGACAATCGCGTCATATCCCTCTCCCCGTTGAAAAAAAATTAAATCTAATTAAATAAAAATAAAAAAAATTAATTCTCAAGCTATTTTATATTATGTAATATTTCTCTAATGAATTCAATGCAGCTGCTTTAATAATATGCAAACAATAATTATTTTAATACGTTTTGTTTATAGCTTTTTAAGATTTTTAACAAATAGCGAGCCCCTGTTGATCTGCAACCTCAATGGGTGCCTCGGAGCAATTGCCCAATTCCTCCTGAATAGGTTTCGGTCCATACCATCACACTCCCACGTCTCTACTGCATTGAAAGAAGCGAAAACTGTGACACTTTACCTACTCGTATCTCCTGATCTCGGAAGATTTTCGGCGACTTCAATCGGTATAAATATAGAAACGCGACTTTTCTGTATACATAACATAGAACGTACTGTTGGTACAGGTCATCTTAAATGGGCTTAGCATGTTAGATCAACTTTTCATAAATGGTTTGAGCTCATGAGCCTTGCGAGTATAATAGACACTTCATTCAGGCACTGTTAGGCACCATGAAAAGGATTGCTTCTTGCAGTAATAAAAATATTTCTGTCATCCCTTCTTCTTCTTTTGCCACCTCCTTAGTGCCATCAGCGTGGAGGAACATCCTCGGCTCATCTCGTCCATTGATCCCTGCCACTGGCCCTCCTTCTCATATACACCATGGTGCTATCTCTGGCTCGTCCGAGTCTCTCCATGTTGTCACAATACAATAGCGTGGGCATGCCTCCAGGTCGCCTTCCCTCTGGTTTTGCTTCTAGGAACCATTTTGCCTTTCAGCTATCACCCATCTAGTGCATATGGCCAAACCACTTCAGTTGTCGCTCCTCCATGACTTGTTTTATAGATCTTCTTTTCAGTTTCCCTCTTATCCTTTCGTTCCTCCACCGGCCTTTTCGTGTATTTCCAAGAAATCTCCTGAGGTATCTCATTTCTACGGCCGTTACTTTACTTGCATATTTGTCCAGGACCGTTCGACTCTCTGCACCATACAAAAGGACAGACAGAAATACTGTTTTAAACAAAGTTATTTTTGTTTTCTACCTTCTCTTTCCCTAATATTGTAGTGCAGATAGAGTAAAACATGTCATTGGCTTTGTTGACTCTATTTAAAACCTCCTGATCGATTCTTCCATCTCTATTGAAAATCGTGCCCAAGTACTGGTAGTTGTCCACCTTCCCTAATGGCTCATTATTACATTTTATGAGTACTTGCTCTTTCACATCTCGGCCGTCGAGCATCACCGTACTTTTTGTAGGGTTTATTTCCATTACCTTCCTCTGGAGTTCTTCTGACTATTCCTTGATAACCTTCTAAAGCTTTTCTTTGGTGTCAGCAATCAGGACCACGTACTCTGCATAAAGGAGAGCTTGTGGCTGCACATGAATCAAATTCCAGTAGCCTACTGTTGCTCTGAGTGTCCTTCGCTTACAAACCTTTCATACTTCATCCATGCATATGATGAATAGTAGTGGACTTAGGCTATCACCTTGCTTGACGCCTTTATAATACCTAAATGGCTCTGTTTTAGATCCGTTAAGCCGCACAATTCTCTTGGGATCCTGGTACACCGATTTGATAGCGCTGATGAGATTGGATAGCATCCGTTTTTCTTGCAGAGCATTCCAAATCTCTTTGTAAGGAATCGAATCAAATGCAGCCTTCAAGTCCAGGAATGCCCAAAATAGGCTTCTTCCTCTATCTCATTCTTAATCAACAACCATTCTTAATGAGAAAATAAGATCAAACCTGGGTTTGCCTTCCTGGTCTAAAGCTCCTCTTCCAGATCATGCTCCTCTAATCTCCTGAGCCTCTGTTACAATATTCTTATATATTTTTATATACTACAGCGGATAGGCATGTTGGTTTATAATTCACGCATTTTGTCTGGTTGCTTTTCTTGAAAATCGAAATTATAATATTATTTTTCCAGTCCTGAGGTATTTTCTTTTGCGACCAGGTCTTTTGAAAGAGGTTCTGGAGGCACTTGACCATTTCATCTCCTCCATATTTTCTGAATTCTGGCATAATATTATCCCTGCCTACTACTTTGCCCTATTTTATTTTCTCCATAGCCAATGCAATCTCATGTTCCTCTATAACATCACTCTCACTATTCTCATTAATCTCCACCTGGTTTTCACGGATTCTGGGTCTTCTACGGCCATCATATCGAGGATATTGTCTGTATTCCTGGAAGGAAAAGGTACTCTGGTAGTGTTTTTCCATACTTTGATAATTTATTTTTCATTTGACATCAAATTACTATATAAATCTGGATGGTTGAGATTTTATCAATAGCGAGCTGGATGTTTGCGATTATGATGCGTGGTGACACAGCTTCCCAGCTTTCCATCCTGTCAAACAGTTCGTGCTCCATAGCAAACGTCACTCCACCTGTAGCCCTTTCTCTCGTATTCACTCCAGAGTATATTATTGTGAATCCATTAACCAGCCTTGTGACGCCATTTCCCTTCTTCTTAGTTTCACTGAGGCCTATAATGTTTACTTTGCACTTATGATTTTGCGAACAAGTTCGATCTCTTTTCCAGAAAGGGTCTTAATGTTCCATAAGGGTTCCATATACATAGTCGAGTATCCTTATCCATGCCGTGTCTGTTACCAATAGACTGTACAGCTCCGAGGCAATTGGATCGTCTTTGAATCAGTTATACTTCGGGTAGGTGATTGGCCCAAGCTCCGAAGACCCCTTTACCTCGGGAGAACAGGGTCCTCTTTATATCGAGAACAGGGAATCCTAGGTGGATTGCCTTCACCACGGCTTGTAGCTCCACCTACCCTTCGCAGTGCATCAGCCGATCTGCCGGTCTCCAGTTCCGCCTGATGATGTCTAATCTCTGGACCCAGCTGCTCCATAATGGCTTCATACCAGTACTGGTGTACCTGCTGCCTGACACCAGCGATATTATCGACTTCCCGGTCTGGATCAGCCATGTTTTGTCGAAAGCAGGGTCACCTCTGGCACTTTTTCACCACGCACGGACGGTCTTGCAAACTAGCTTCATAGAGATCTTCTCCAAGGCTTCACAGATCTCTCGGCTGGTGCTCCTGGCTTTGTGGGAGGACCAGTGTCTAGGTAAACCCTAGCATAGGTACTACCTCTACCCAATCCCTCGACCTCCGTCATCCCTTGGTGTCGTAATGCGAGATCCACATGTCTCCTATTAGTACTTCCGATTTCTTTGAACCTGGCTAAAGCCCGGAAGACTATAGTCTGCGAAACGCCAACTGTATCGACGATATCCACTTGTTATTTCCCTTAACCGCTCATTCTCATGATAATATTGCAAACTTGTAGTTCAATATGATGTATTTCCGTCGTTAAACAGATCATTACTGGGTTAAAATTGAGAAAAGTCGAAAGTAACTGTTGGTTTATACAATGAGTATTCTTCATGTTGACTGTTATTTAGTTCATTGTTTATTAAAAATTTAGAATACTTGTTATTTACTATTTATGTTAGCCAAAAAATAAGAAAATTTCTCTTTCTCTAAAAAAAAGGAGGTTATTTTCATTAAAACGAACCAAATAGAAATATCCTTATTCATTTTTGACCAGATTATTTCTGATTAAACATCAATGTTGTTGAACAAAAACCAACCGTCAATAAAAATGAGGTACATCAAATTTTGACATCAACGAACCTATTGCCACTAAAAAGCTCTGAATGACCGCCAACCTTCCTGTAACTGAATAAAAAATCGCGGAAGTTTGATATGTAACAGAATTCAAGTGTTGAATAACACATAAAACATTGAGATTGCATTTTTTGAATAATAAAGTAAGATTAATATTGCTGCGTTTCTGGCTATCTGTTTTTCTCAGGCAAATGGAGGTATAAGGAACGGCATTTATGTGTATTCAATGTATTTAAAATATTTCTATTTGTTTCAGAAGAGAACCGATATATTAAAACTACTATTCACCCAATGGTCGAATTCCGACCATAACCATCATTGAATATTTAAGAAAAACATATATGATTTTGAATGTTTCCTACATTTTTTTCTGCTCTTATATACGATAATCCAATTTGATTTTCCTAACTTTAATTTTAAAAAATACAAGTAATTAGAATAAATCAAGATAATTCTTATTTGCAGTATGAGCTGTATTCAGACCTAAATTAAGATTCTCTCATTAGTCATCTCAATATTGACTCGAAATAAAATGAAAAACCTTCAAAATGATTAGCCGAATTGAACGGTCCTACAGGTGCTAATATGAGCAAGGACAGAATTTGGAGCTCTTCGACGGTTGAGATCTTTAAAAATGGGATCTTGACTACAAATCTATATTGACTTATCATCACGCAAAAACAAAATATTGCTCTTACGTCATAATTAAATATTTAGCGAATTTCCTCTTTCCTTACATTAATAACCAAGTTATTTTAAACAAATATATGTATATCTAGAAATACTACTACTTTGACAAGTCCAGTTTTTGATTTTTTGTACTTAATATCATTTAGTATTAGTTTTAGAATTTTTGTTTATTCTTTTATATCAGTATGGTAGTGTACTCCTCAGTATTAGGCATAGTTAAACCTCATTAATTATTAATTAGTTATGTTAGTTTGTTTTATTTTCTGATGTTTATGTTAGCATATGTTACACTTACTCTTATGAGTCACTCCTAATATTGTTAATCATATATCATAAGACCTTATTTTTATATAACTATACTATATTTATTATCTATATTATTCTTATATATACATAATCTTAATTATATCCTGATCTCATATCCTTTATCTTATATTATTTATATTTCATTATGTTTACTTTTTTATTAATAATAACAATAAGAAGAAAAAGAAGAATGATAATTCTTCTTATTATTATTACTGTTTTCTTATTTTTTAATTATATTGTCTTATTATTACTTTCGTGCTGATGCCCCTCCTTTTCCTCCCTCCCTCCCAAAAAAAATGGTAAAACATAACCATATTTTATGAAAAAAAAATGATCTCTAAAAGTATTATTGTTCACTTAATTACATTAATTAGGACTTCGAGAATCACTTAAACACCATTTCAAATAGATAGTTAATTTATTTGTTCCTGCTCCAAAGTAATATTTGTTATATATATTTTTAAAAAATCTTTCGGGTTGAAGCCTGCTCAAAAATTAAAATCTCGATCCGTTAGTGGCGCTAAGTGAACTTAAAGGAAACCCTCTAAGCCTCATAATCCTGCCCCCTCCCTCCTCCCTTCCATCCCACCTGAGGAAATTTGACTGAGGAAAGAAGAGCTAAAGAAAATAAAAGCATGTGAAGTTACGTTTTAGTGATTCTTGAAGGCAAATAAAAAAAAAAAATCAACCAACTACTAAAAATTCAGGAAATATCGATATTACAAAAATAAAAAGTACGAAAACACTATATTTACGTTAATGAAATAGCACTTGGATTATAGATTTTATATTTATTTTTGATTTTAAATATTTTTCTATTGAAGAAAGAAGTAATCAAAATATTAGTTTCTTGACTGATATAAGATATTAAATTTATTTAATAACTAATTTTAAAAGTCCAGAGAGATTTATAAATGTTTATGATATTTTGTAATGAGACATTTGGAACAAATTCTGTTGGCGATCACCACTCAATTACTCACCACGGTTGGCAACCCCGGAAATATCGGTGGCTCCCTTGCTGCATGGCATGGACTCAGTTCAATCGAATGGTAGATCAAGAGAAGGGATAACACGGTAGGCAACATTTCTGAAGAAACTGGATCTCCTGGTCCAACAGCAGGTTACATATACACCCCTCACCTTGAAATATGCCGGTCTAGGTCATCGTATTCTCAGATGTAATCAACAGACCTTATTTTATCTGCTTCCTGATCATTAGGGAGGTAGTCCTTTACCGACAAGACGGAAATGAATTTTTTTTTCCTGCCTATTGTTAATATAAGATCATAAATAACAGATGAGGATTCAACAAGCGAAATCGTATTGATTTTTAAAAATTACTAAAATTAGAATAAAATTATTTGGCATAACCAGAATGTAATAACTATTTAAAAATCAATTGACAGTATGTATGCATCAAATGTAAGGATGCACAAAACAATCTATCCATGGGTGCCCAGAAGAGGGATGAATGGACCAAGTGCTGCCAACAAAATGTTTGGGGAGGGTATATTATTATGAAGTTTTGAATTTTGGAGGGGGACACATTTTGGCGGGTTTATCAACTTTCAACCAGGAAACCAAGAAGAGATTACACAGAACCGATTACACCAGCTTGTAGATGATCAACAATTTTTCTAATTCTACTTTGCTAATTTCGAAAGCCCCCCTCGCCGTAGATCCGCCTGTGACCATCTGCGAGGTATTCCTCCAGCAATTTAGAACTCTTAGAATGTAAATACCATTTTGAAAAAACAAATGCACTTTCAATGTTGTGAGCATATATAATTAAAATGTATATTTTTCTCTTAACCCGTTATTATGAAATACTTCCACCGAATGTATATCACGGAAAATAGAGCTAAGAAACATTTTTATTGTCATATTCGTTTTTCTCAACGCAAAATTAGTAAGAATTGACTCATAAAGTGCTGAAAACATTCAAAAATTTGTTTTTTGTTGCCCAGTGTATTTATTCATTTTAATATTTTGAAAGTGGGGAGATGAAGGGAGGAAGGGGGGGGGGTAGAGATTTAGTGGAAGAGTGAAGTCCGTGGGCCAGACCCCCCCGCCCTCCTTCCACATCACTATAAATTGCATATCGTTGTGTTCCTTGTAACTACATATTAAAAAAAAAGGCCATGTTCCCACAAAAAAAGTGGCCACATTGTCACAAAATGGTGTCCAAACATGGCTGAGTGACGACTTTGACTTGAGTTAGTTTTTCGGTCACTGAGATTCAGCACTTGGTATAATTTTGTCATAATTGATCTTTTATTAAAGATGAATAGTCAGAGTATAATAAAGCATAAAAAAAAAATTAAAACATAATTGGCCTTGGAAATAAAAAATACCGGTAAAGTTCATCTTTTCAAATCGTTCAAACTAAAGTTTAAATTCAAGCGTCATTTGTAATTAATTGCTCAACAATAATGAAAAAAATGCTTTAAAATAAAATATCCAGAGAATACATTTATCTTTCTAAATCACTGATTAATTTTTAACATAATTGAAACAGTTCTTTAGAAAATGCACTTAATTGGCGGAAAAGCGGCACTGGCGTAGGCGCCTACGAAAGAGATCGAACGCAATAAATGACTCAGGTCATTCTAGCTCATTTATTTTATCAATTATTTATAGCCATTCCTATATCCATATATCCTACTTCTTCAAAATAATAACTTAAATAAATGTTTACTTAACTAATTCTTATAAGGCAGGTTATTGAAGACATAAACATGAAATTAGCTTAACATTTTCAAGTTATAATTTTTTTATTTCAATTTTAGTCTTGTGGTTGTGTAAAGTGATCTGATCTCCCACCAAACCTTCCTTCCTCGCTTACCCCTCCATCAAAACGTTAATATAAATAAAAATTTACTCCACTGTAACATATGACAGGTCACGGGCGGAAGCCCCCCCAAAATGGAATAATATAACCATGTTATATGGGAAAAAAATTTTAAAAATACCGCTTAAAGTATTATTCTTCGGGTAATTACATTGAATAGTACTTAAGGAATAACTTAAACACCATTTCATATAGGTAGTTAGTTTCTTTCTGTTTTTCCAAAGTAATTATCGTTATTTTTATGAAAAAAAAGGTTTCGGGCTCAAGCCCCCCCCCAAAATTAAATCCTGGATCCGCTAGTGTGACAGGTTAATGAAGATATAAAGATAAGTGCATATGATCAAACAGGAAATTGCTTAAAATTTTTAAGTTCGAAAAATTTTCAGAACTTTGAAAACCTATATCTAAAAACTTATTAAACTTACCGAAATTGTTTTGATCAGAAATTGTACCATATTTAATCTAGTTTAAAATTGTATAGGGTATTTTTTGTTGAAAGCGTGTTCCTTCATAGTCAAAATGGGAAAAAATCGAAACAAGTGCGAAAATAAGCCATGTGTAGGGGTTTTAAAAAGTGATTTGGGGAACCACCGAGTTCGAAAACATGGATTTTGCTTCTCAGTCATATCTCATACAAGAAAAGAAAAAGAAACATTCTACCCCCATTTGATGCAACTTGGATCCCCTTTTCATGAAAGGTTACTGGGCTAAAGATCCCTGTTTCTACTTAATACTTAATACCAATATAGCATACTTAATTAATACCAATTAATTAACTGGTTGTTCAAATCCACCAAAATATTTTGACAGAGGCATACAAATATTTCATTGCTTACAGATGATTCAGAAAATATCCTGCCAGTCAATATTTTTTTGACATTGTTATTGAGTAGAAATAACTTCATCAATCTTAGGAAATGGTTTATTTTAATTTTTAAACTACCCAAACATATGTCTCATAAACTTTGGTATATGTATAAAATATTTCCCAATCATGCAGCTAATGATGTGATGACAATTTTTATTAATGATAGTTAATGACGATATTCGGTGATTACCATTTTGATTAAAATTTTTAGAATTGTTGTCTGACAAATGAATTGTTGACTAAAAATTTTCAAAGAATCCTTTATCAAATCCCATAAAATCTAACACCCTGTGAATACTGAAAATTGCAAAATATGTTTCCTCTCAGAAATACAATAGTTACTGACAATTGCATAGAGATGAATACATAGAAACAGGGGTGAAGAACAACTCAGATTTGAGACTTTCAAGTTGCAAATCTGGATACAATTTTAATAAACTTTAACATTTTGTGGTAACTGCTCACACAAATTGTTGTGATGTCTATTAGTTTTATTTTGTTTTTTTTATATAAATTATGACATCAAATATTTTTCAATAAATTCAAATTTATACTGATTTGTCATATTTTGAATGTTTATTTTTTTTTATTTTATTTTATTTTTTTAATCAAAAGTCATGGCTGGTGGAAATAATGGAGTTCTGAATATGACCTGCAGAAGTACGTAAAAGTCTCAATCTGGCCTGTGGACTCTGCCGGCTGAGGCAATTGCCTGGGGGCGCCGAACTGAAAAGGGGCGAATTAAAAATAAAATAAAAAGTGTATTAGAATTTTATTCTATTAATAAAGCAACTGAAATAGAAACATAGTGAATAGAATAAAATTCAAACATTACTTAATATAAAAGAACTTAAGGAATTTTTTTTTTTTAATTTTTATTATGTTATTTACAACTGTATTAGTATAAATACATCAAGTAAATGTGTACACAGGAATATAATCACATGAAAAAGCGTGTTGAGAAACTACCCATTGGTAGTACTCTAATTGCTTAAGGAATAAATTTAATTTTTTGGAATTGATGTCATCATTGCTTAGGGTCGCCAAATGTCTAGAGCCAGTACGTTTGGTGAGTCCTGGTATAAACTATTCTTGGCAAATACTTGTGATTAAATTTTCGTTTTATGCAATTTTTTACAAATGTTACTTACCTCTTAAAACATGTATTACGATGATTTCCTGATAATAACTAAAGAATAAATTTGGGTATTTGTTTGTCTTAGAAATAATAAAGATCAATTTAATAAAAATATTTATTGTTTATTTTGGTAAAAGTTGTCGCTAATTAATAGTAATATAATCAATAAAAAGTAGGATTTAAGTGGAAATTAATAAATTAAATATACTTTGGCAGATTAAAAAAATAAATATTACTAAAATATATACATATATACACTTTTAGTTATAAGGATGGAAGAAATGTATTTACAATGGTCAGGTAACTAGATTAAACATATGACTAAGGAGTCAAAGTACTAAACACTTTCAAAAAAGTATTAAAAATCAGGATATCATGGAAAAAGAGAATGGTAAGCTTACAATCATTATTAAATAGGATTTTAGTATTGGTGATGTACAGGTCTATTCTGGTACTGCTCTCTTATCATAAGCAGATACATCTTGATCTGTGAGCATATAATGGAAAGTTGAGTAGGAGAGATGATGGCTTCCAGATGTTTTAGAAACAGCTATACATCTGTGTAATACAAGAGATTATTTAGAAAAAATTATTGAAACTAAACATAGTTGTTATATTAAGGTTACCAACTGCCATCCAATAAAGGTTAGTCATTAAACTTACTATTTGAGATATTTTCTTTATAGTTGATAGTCCATCTAAGTCTTAAAACTTTTGTATTCCATTCTATTCAGCTTATCATTTCCCATTTGTCATTGATACCATTTAGTTTGTTAATGACTTCAGAAGGTTTATAATATCTGGGTAAAGTACTTTATCAGCATTTTTACCCAAGTACATGTCTGAATGTGTGAATTGTCGATCAGGAACTGGTTTTGAAAACAGCAGTTGAGGTAAGCGTGATGCCAATCGGCTTACTGACTGGAAACATTTAAAAAAATATATTTTTAAAATATACATTAATATTATATTTCATTTTAATATATACACACACTCATATATATACATATATGAATGCCTCTATAAGAGTGTTTCAGGATCAGCAAACCATATGCAATGTTGTGATTTAAGATTTAACACCTCATTTACAAAAAAAAATGTTCATATGATCCAGCGCCACTTAGAAAAGTATAAACTTTAAATTCGTTTTTAAAAGTAAGTTATGGTTTTTTGTTGGATAGGAAGTCATAACCAAAAAAATATTTGATTCAAGTAATTTAAAATAACAACATAGTAAACTAGACAAAGTATCCCTTGAATAAATAAGTAAAATTTATATTTTTTGAAACAATTTTAAGGTGAATAAACTATCTAAACTATTTAAAGTGGATAAACTATCTTTTATTTTCAAAAAGGTATGGATTTTTTTTTATCTTTTTTCTATCAGCTCCTACTAGACTATAGATTCTTAAATTTTAGGAAAAAAAAAATGCTTGTTTCATTAACTCTAAGTCCATATAAATTAAGTTGGAGTTTTTTACAAAATAAAATGAGATTAGCTTCCTGTGTTTCAAAAAATTCTCTCTTTTTAAGTTATCAGTGTTTTCAGAAAAAATAATTAAAATGAATCATCACAAACCTTTTATTTCTTTTTGTCATGAGGTGCTTTGTATTAAATTAATTATTAAAATATACTTTATAATATAAAAATTTTATATAATATAAAAAGTATCACTATAAATTAACAGCGAAACAGTGCTTTTTACTCAGAACTCAATTGCTAAAGTAAATAACTAAATGTTACTAATCCTAATTATCGTGTTTCATTAGTTAAAAGTAATGATCAATAACCTTTAATTGGTAATGATGCTCTGTTGGTAATGAAAACTGTCAAATCCAAAATTGAAGTTTTCTGTAATTCAAGGAATGAAACACTACTTCCTAGGAAAAATATATATGTATGAACATATGAGTATATCCTATTTTTTTTTTTTTTTTTTTTTTTGAAGAGCTACCTTTACTAGGAATGGAATATTTAATTTGCAAAGTAGTCATCATTAGGCAAATGAAAATTGTCATTCCACGAGACATAGGGTACATTAATACCAATTTACAATAGTCACAGACCCAGGAATTAATTTCGGGGATTTTGGATTTTATTTATTTACATATTCTTATATAACTAAAGCAGTAATTTATCTGCAAGAAAAATAAATAAACTATAAGAAATGATGTTTAAATGGTAATGATGTCAGTGGCCTTGAAGAGATGTTAAAAAACATCCAAAAAAAAATCGTAATTACAGGAACAATAATGATTTTAAAGGTTAATTTTTTTCTTGCATATATTTATTATCTTTATATGCATTATACTTTAAAATGAGATCACATTGTGATTGTTTTAGTATTTAGCTGACATCACTAACAAAAATAGACCAATGAAATTTATTTTTTATTTTTAGGGGTTTTAGCCCAAAAACTGTATCTTATTAATAGCTTATTATTATTATTATTATTATTGACTATTTATTTAATCTTTATTTGTTTTCAGGGAAGAACCCTATATAAATAGAGTCTATATTTACGAGTATATTATAAACATTATTAACCTTATTGTATTAAAATATATTTGTTTCCTTTTTATGCTATATTATAAATATTAAATAATCTAAAAGATAGCTTAAAAATCACATTTATTAAATAGTCAGATAGTTAGGACAAAGCCAAATATCATACATTAGTATAAAATCTTTTTATTTATTTTTTTATTTCTTTATGACATATACAACTGTATTACATAAATACATCAAGTAAATTTGGACATAATTGATAAATGACATGAATACACTTGCTGAGTAACTACCCAATGGTAGCACTCTAATGATATGACTACATTAGGAGATCACGGGGCCATCTTCTTTTCAGACGCCTCGGAGGGTTATCAGGAATTGAAGAGGAAGCAAGGTTAGAAACGAGAGGGTTGGGATGATTCTGAAGTTTATTATGGAAGGATAGGTATCTGGATTGGGCCAGATCTGAAACATAAGGAACATAAAGATCTTTATGGATAATTTTATTAGTGACAAAGTAAGGAGCATTGAGGATTTTACGAATGATTTTGGATTGTAAGGATTGGATGCGAGAGGAATTTGAAGGTTTGGTGGAGCCCCATAGCTCAATTCCGTAAGTCCAAATAGTCCTTATTATAATCATGTAAATGAGTCTTAGAGCGTTTGTCTAGTAAGTGTTGAAGTAGTCGGAAACGTCGAGCTGTTTCTTGTCGTTTCAGTCTGGTATGAGGATTCCAAGTTAGACGTTTGTCCAGATGGAGTCCTAGGTTAAATTGGAAACTTAAATTCAGGATTGAAAATGTAATGTTATAAGAATAAAGAAGGGCTTGAAACGGAAAAAAAAAATGAAAACATTTCGGAATCACGGGAACATTTATTGTCGATAGTTTTGCGAGAGGAATTCGATGGTTTAGTGGAGCCCCATATCTCAAATCCGTAAGTCCAAATAGGTCTTATTATAGTCAAGTATATGAGTCTTTTGTGATTAATGGGAAGTTTAGAGCGTTCGTCTAGTAAGTGCTGAAGTAATCATAAACGTCGAGTGGTTTCTTGTCGTTTCAGTCTAGTATGAGGATTCCAAGTTAGTCGTTTGTCCAGGTGGAGTCCTAGGTATCGGATTTGCTCAACAGGGATAAGTGGAGTATTGTTAAAGGAAACTGTAGGACAGGAAGTCGTTGGTTTACGACGAAGGGTAAATGTAATTTGGTGGGATTTATTGGAGTTTATTTTAATTCTCCAGTTTTGACACCATTCTTCTAGATTTATGATGTGTGATTGAAGCATTTGGGATGCAATTGCTGGGTCATTGTTTACTGATAGGATACATGTGTCATCGGCATATGTGGTGATGACAGTGTTGGGACAGGTAGGGATGTCAGCTGTATAAACTGTATAGAGGATAGGACCTAGGATACTACCTTGAGGAACACCAGCGGACTGAGTATAAAATATAAAATTATCAATAGAACGCATAACAACCATAAATAAATTTTATGCTTTAAATATTAATGTTAAATCATATACTAAAATTAAATTACCAGATCATCCATATAAACAAAGAAAATAACAAGAGAACAAGACCAAAACAAATCCGTTCAACATTTATCGTAATCCATGCTGACATCCAATCTACATTTTTATTACAATACTCAGAGGACAATATTTTAGATTACCCCACCAAATCTCTATAATTACATATATTAGAGATAAAAAAATATAATTTTCTCATATCTTCTATAGTCTTAATGGGATTATTATTGCCTATCATTTCTGAAAAAATAAAACTCAACAGTTGTTTTAATTATTTTCAAGAAAACTAATTAAGATTAGAACATGGGGGACATTTAGTTGTTCACATAATAGCAAAAGGACCAATCTCCACAATTAAGGTCTGAGTAAAAAAGCATGGGTACATTATCACTTTAGGTGATAATTTTAAAGTATTTATATTTAAAAAAAAAATTATATACAAATAATATTGCAGTTATTAATTTAATACAATGATTCACATCATAAAAGAATATATATACTAGCTGTACCCAGTCATGCATTGCTGTTGCTCAGTCTGGTTGAATAGAAAAATAAATAAAAAAGAAAGCAGATATTTCTAATATAGATATATTTCTATTTCTCTAATATAGATTTGTTTCTAGGTAATTCTAACAGCAGACATGTTTCTAGGTAATTCTAATAGCCAATGTGTTTGTATATATGTAATTTCGCAATACATCTGAATATACACTATTTTTTGTTATTCCATTGTTTGTATAGATACAGAAATTGTATGGTTTTCCAACTCTAGAACACGCAACATATTGTCTTGTCGATGTGAGAAGCGATTTGTCTCTAAATCTCCAAAGGAAAACCACTAAATGTTTAAAACACTATATCTCTGCACCAAATCATCCGATTTTAGTGATCTTTTTTTTAATTTGCCGGGAATCAAGGAAGCTTTCTAATAATTATGGGAATAATCCAACAAAAATTGTGTACTATTTGATTTATTCATAAATATAGTTTTAAACCGATCGTAACTTTTTTTATACTTTTTTTGGGAAAGCATGTTATATACATAACTTAAAAGGGCTTCAAGGAGAAGACTTTAGCCACATTTATTTAAAACTGTTACAGCCATTTAGTGATAGTCTATAGGGACACACGTTTGTTGCCCAGCTTTCCCAAACGAAATGCCAGAGGATAATTAAACGTATATAAAAACACTCCTGAATCAAATAGAAACATTATGTCTATATTCTAAAGCAATCAGTGAAGGAATTTCGGAGATTAGTGGTTTTAAACAAACAAGCATTTACGTTTTTATTAATAAATATATATATAATTTTAAGGACTTTATTCATCCTCATATTTAACGCAGTTTAATTTTCAAATAGTTTATGCATCTTAAATTGATTTAATATGACTGGTTTACTTCAATCTTTAATGTTATTTTATAACAAAAATATATAATAAGTTTATGAACATAATAAACGATAAGATGAACAGATAAATTGTATTAAATCTGAAACATTTGTGGAAGAATTAAGTAATTAAAAAAAAAAATACCTCTTCTGAAAGCAAAGGATCATTGTAACTCCAAAAAAGAGCTACAGGTGCAGAAACTAAATCAAGATTATAAAATGGAGGTTCCTCTGTTCCATAGACACCTTGATTAACTTTTCTTCCATAGTCAAAGAGCTTGAAATCTCCTAAAATTTAAACAATGAGTATATTAATTAAATAATAATGAAATGTTGGTTACACAATCAGTAAAACTAAAATTTTTGCTGTTTTACATAATGTTCTCAGACTTAATTTTAATGTTTCAACAAATAACTGTCTGACCTCACTCACTAAGGATCTTGGGTTCATCAATCATAGTTTTTAATGATTACTAATGAAACAACTATAATTGTGCTTAAAAGATTGTATGAGGCTATTAGATAATACGAAGCTGTTTTAAAAATAAGTAATCTTCAGATCAGCATATAAACATTAATTTCATATATTTTATTTTTCCACATTTTTTTAAATTAAAATTTTATTTTTAATATATAGTTTTTTGGTCCACAACAGGTATGACTAGACCACGGTGTAATATACCATAAAAAAAAAAAAGTATATTCTTGATCATATAACATTTAACTATATTTTTTTATTTGTTAATTAAGTTTATTATTCACAATTTTAGTATAAGTTTTGAAATTGACTTTTTTATAAATATTTTTAGTTTTATTACTTTTTTTTATTTTCTATGTTTATTATTATTTTTGTTTTTCTAACATCATTATTTTTTAAATCATTATAGTTTTTATGGAAATTCTGTTTAGTGCTAATTCTCCGATGTTGAGAGTTTTAAAAAATATTTTGTTCTTGTAGTAGCTTTTTAGACGTTTTTTCTTTGTAAACCTGGCCACATTACATGTTAGTTAAGGAAGTATTTAATTTATTATTATAAAGGATCCCTAGTTTCATATTATAGTGTTCATAATTAAATATTTTTTTTTATTTCATCTGTTAACCCTGGTATGTAGTTTATTTTGAAATATTTTCTGAATTGTTTTCTATCATGAGTGAGACAGATCAGTGATTAAGGTACTGTGTCTGGTCTGGTTGCAATAGATTATTATTTATTTCGCTATATCAGCCATATGTTGCCTTTGGGGTCCATTGGGGCACACCCAGCTTCTTCAGCGATTATGTTGAAGCATTGACCACTCAGACTGGCAAAAAGGAGTGTAGAGATTGAAATAAGGAAAAAACTGTAAACGAATTATTTACCTATTTATTGCCTTTCAAAGGACAAAATTTACGTTTTTATAAACAGGCAAATTTAAACATCATTTTTACTGTCATAAATAACCCTAATTTGTCCTGTCGACTCAAAAACTTATACTACTCTTCACTTTCAAGTGAATGGGGAAAATATAGCAGTCAGTCAGATCGATGTTTCCAGAAACTACTGTGCTGTCTCCTAGCATCAGATGCTTATCTTTCCTATTTTATCAATAACAACAAATGAAAAATTCCTATTTTTCCTTTTTTTATTCAATAAAAGTTAGTGGTGGATCCCAAAATTAATTTTGGGGACTATTTTCTTTTTTTTTATTATGTTTTTTTAAAAGACTTAATATTAACGTCCATTAATGGTTGACTGTTGGGAATTATAAAATTTTACAAATTAGCAATAAGTTCATAAATCTATTAGAAAGATCAAAAGTTTATAAAATATCTCACCTTTTCGAAATAGTTGTGTTATGTGATATACTGTTTTAGCCGAAGTCCCGCCAGAGAAATAAGGCATATGGAATCCAAAGTCTTTCTAAAAAAAAAAAGTTATTTACGTCAATATAAGGACCTCTGATTAATAACAATAATGATAAAAAATATAATTATAATCACAATGACAATGCGCTGCTTTCAAGGATATTGTTATCTAAAATTTCATTAGCAGTTTTAAATTGAATATCTTTGAGCCTATATTAAATTGTATATCTCTGTACATTCTAGTATCACTCACTTCGTCAATGTTTGATCTGTTTTCACCAAGATACAATCCAATCAAATATAAGCATAAGGGTTGAGTCATAGATTTGTATCCACAAAAGGTTTTGAGAAATCTGATAAATGGTGGTGTTCTGGGTAGTATTTCATACGTTCCTAACTTCTGTCCCCAAGACTGTAATGAGAATGCAACAAATAAGTATTTTACGTTTTATGATTAGTAAGATTAAAAAATCAGAATGAGACAAAAATAGTCAGGCTATTATTATTGAAATATTCCAACAAAAATAAAAAGCTATTGTTCCATCAAAATATAATTAATAAATAATTGGCTATGAAGATCATCTCAGTGACAGCGGGAAGATCGCTGACCCATGTAAGGGGGCATTTGAGAGGTTGGAGATAAAAGCAGCTGATATTGGGGTAAAGACCAAAACAATTTTAAAAGTACTTCTGAGTAAATTAAGCTAAGTTCTGTTTATAAAAAAATCATAAATTATTCCTGACTTATCATCCTCCAACTCACTAGCAGATCCAGGATTTAATTTTGGGGGAGGGGCTTCAGCCCGAAAGATTTTTTTTCATATACATATAACAATAATTAATTGAAAAAAAAATAAAGAAATTAACTACTCATATGAAATGGTGTTTAAGTGGTTCTTGAAGTCCTATTAAATGTAATTAGATGAACAAGAATACTTTAAGAGATAGTTTTTAATATTTTTTTCTGTAAAACATGGTTATATTTTATCATTTTGAGGGGGGGCTTCAGCCCGAAAGCCCCCCCCCCTCTCCCTCTCCCCCCTGTAGATCCGCCTGTGCTTCAACTTACTATAGATAATCCACATTTAGAAAATTTTCCTCATTTGATAAGCTTAAAGTCAACATTATTTGAGTTCAGGTTTACGAGGGATAAACTTCAGATTCACCTCAAGTTGTGTAAAAAAATTGTGTGATTTTATTTCCTGTCAACTTAAGTACCCATGTTTTCAATAGAAGTGACTACAATAAATTGTAGCACAGCTTTTATTTATTGTTCTTTCATGAACTGGAATTTATGACAATAAACATAATTGCCTAAATACACTGTTTATTTATAAAAATAATTGTAAAAATAAATACTTTTCAAGTAAACTAGTTATGAAAATGTCTTTTCACCCAGATCTCTATTATGGGAATCGATCCATATTTATAAGTGACAAACTAAATGTTGCTGATCCTAATATTTACATTTAAATCTGTTGATTGCTTCTATTGTTTTAATGAAAACATAAATATTAGGATCAGGAACATTTAGTTTGGCATTTATAAATATGGATCAATTCCTGTAATAGAGATCTTAACAAAAAAAAGCACTTATTCATCATCACATTTAGATGATGAATAACCTAAAAATCATTATTTTTAACATTTTTTTTAGAAATAAAAAGTGTGCTTATGCTTAAAGTTTATTTGGTAGTGTATATAATTACTTAGCTTGATAAAATTATTAACGACTTCAACAATTTCTAATACATATTGGTGTTACCTTCATCATCATAACATTTTCTCTAGAATGTTAATATCCAAGAACCATATAAAATTGTTGTAACTAAAATATAATCATACTAAGCGTTGCATTTACATGCATAGCAGCTGCGTTGATGAAAAACATGAATGAAAGAACTATATATATATGTACATATAAAAGAATTTTAAAAATTACAGAAGTAGTATTCCATCCTTAATAATGCATAAGTAAAAAAAAAAGAATAAATTAAAGCTTTATAATAATTTATTGTAGTCATTTTTGCTGAAAACATGAGTATTTTTAGGAGACAGGACATAAAATCACATTATTTTTTTACACAAGTTGAAGTGAATCTCAAGTTTCTTCCTAATTAATCTTAATTTAATTAATATGGCATATTTAAAAAATAAGTTTTTCAAAAAGTGGGGTACTCGTAGTATAGTTGGAGAATGATAAAAAAAAAAAGTCATGAATAATTTGTTTTAAAAACAGAACTTAACTAAGTTTAGACATTCAAAAGTCCTCTTTAGTTGGTTTTTACAAAGAAAACACCATTTTCATTTGAAGACAATTTTGTGTAGTTTATCGTGAAGCAATTGTTAATTACTTAAATTAAATATTTCTTTAGCTATCGCTTCCTATCAACAAAAAAACATGACTCTTAAAAAAACACAAAACTTAAATTTCTTACTTGCTGAAAATCGGACAAATGTTTATATAAACATTTTCGTAGCTCTTGAGGTCTCCTATCACTCTTTTAAATATTTCCATCTACTTACAGGACACCCTGTATAAATCTCTGATCAGACCTTTTGTTAAGCATGTGAAACAGTCATGCAAAATAAATCAAGCACAGAAAAGCTGGAGCGGTTCGAAAAAAGTGTTTAAGAACAAGACAATTATATTTCTTCTTGCCGCATACGAGATAATTACACACCACGAAAGAGAAAAAACAAGGAAAGTTTCGTTTAATTGCTATGCATTAAGAGATAAGGATATGTTTGCCAGAGGAGAGAGAAGAGGACAGCTAAAATATTCAATAAGGAAAAACTCGAAGGAGTGAGATCTCGTGAAAGAACAAAAGCTAAATGGATGCATAGCTAGTAGCGTCTTGGAGAAGTAGATAAGATGACTTTTGGGCGAAAGACTGCATCAGTCTTGGAGGTCAATAATGTAATGTAACTGGTTCACTGTATCATTTGATTAACTGATGTGAGATCTGCTTTCCATACTCTTTTAGCTTGCATAAGGTATTTAAGTACCTATCCATGCGGAATACTTATCTGACAAATTATTTTGTAAAGCTTGGATTCATAAATTGATTGTAGTCCTGATTGTTTGATAGCAAAACAATGAGTGGTTAGTTATTAAATTCAATTTTGGAATATTTCAATAGCAATCTAATAATCTTTTTACTATGGTTTGATATAAAATTATTCAGGTCAAAACTAGGATCAATAGATTCCTAGCCAAGTTTAAGCTAGACAATGGAAATTTACAATAGCTTTAAATTTAAATCATAAATTAAAAGGTAAACATAATTGGTACAAATGTATACAAAAATATTTTTAAAATTTGTTAAATTACATATAATTCATCAGCACTAGACAGGATTAGTCTCATTAAAGGTTTTATATCTCTGGCGGAAGGCGCAAAAGCCACTGGAGATAGTAGAATTGCTGCAGCTATCTTCGAATTATACTCAGGGCGCATTGACATTGTCACCAAAAATGTAGTGGTACCTTAAAATAATTTCATGAAAACAAATTTTGTGAAATTGAAAAATACACACACACACAAAAAAAAACAAAAAAAAATGGCCTTTCTCCGAAACTAGGAAAATTCATGTCTCAGCGAACCTTGTTGAGTTTATTAAAGATTTTTTTATCCCCAATGTAAATAAGTATTATTGCTTTTTGGGACCCTTATCCACTTTTATAAACTCTTCTGTAATGACAAAAAGGGACTGAATAGTTGAATTCTGTCTTCTTGAGGTTTAATTTTACCTTCACGTTCAAATACCTCAGGATTAGCTTTTATTTAAACTTATGTATTTACTTACCTTTCAACTGAAAGGTTTGTATTTCAATAGTTTGGCATTCGGAAAATATAATATTGAATCCACTAGAGATGTTTAAAGTCATTTTCCCCCAACCATAAATCTCTTTCTCTTTTTTTATTTTAAAATCTGTCCAGGTGAGATCAATTTTAGTCCTTAAATTCCAAAGGCATAACTTTCAGACATTTCCTTAAAATACTAAATATTTTACACACCCATAAATAATTGGAAATAGGAGTGCCCGCCCATCCACTCCAAGATCAATGGCACAAGAACCGATACCCCCCTTCCAAGATATTTTATTGCTCATCTTTTCTTTAAAAAAAGAGCAAGCGAAGGTAAAAGGTAGAATTAAAAAAATCATTGATCATATATAATTACACTTGCTGCGGTATGTTCCATGTTTTCTCCTTGTTACTTAGTATGAAGCTTTTCATTCCAAAAATTCATAACCCCGCCGAAATGTGTCCTCCATCAAAATTTCAAAAACCTGCCAAAATATGCCTCCCTCAAGAATTTTTATGGCACAACTTGCGCCATCAAAGCTCCTTCTGTACACTCCTGAGTCTAAACAATAGTTCAGATTTGTTGTTGCAATAATTAATTTTACATAGCAAATGTTAATCAGGTGACGTAGTATTCAGCTGAAATGAGGTTGAGAATTTAGTTCTAAAGGTGTATTTTTGAGAGCGAATAATTTAATAATGTATTTGAGGTCTAATTTATGTCTTCAATAAGAACACAGTTTTTAGACAAATATTTTGTGGCAGCAGCTTGTACACAATCAAGCAGCTCTTTTTCAAAATGGTTTACATTTATTAAAGGTGATAACATTTTAGTAATCGAAGTAGTAAATGAATTTAATTTTCTGAAGCCCAAGATTTAACATTCTCCTTATCAATATATTTTTTAATAATGATATCTCATTAAAAAGATCATTTTATCATTGAGTCCTATCAAGCTCCCTTCTTGGGAAATTGTTTCGTAACGTTTCACTAGCTCAATCAAGCCTTAAAATAATTATAATAAATAATAATTATATTATTTTGTTAATTTATTTGAATTTATAAAAGATAATTATATTTTAGAACTATAAGTATTATATAAGGATATTTTATGAATTATATATTGAGTGGCACGCCATTATCCGTTATCTGTTAGCCGGGATAAGCCATTATCCGTTTTCAGTCCTCCACTGTGAAGTATAACAACAGCAAATTTTAATAAATAGATAACATAAAAAAACAAAAATAGTTTTAAAAAGTTGGAATCAATTTTAGCTATAGTAAATTTACTGAAAAAATTCAAGTAATTCCAATAAATTTATTAAAATAAAATTAATAACAATATATAATATAGAATAGAATAGAATAGAATAGAAAAGTAATTTTATTCTGGTACGAAGTCCCTTCAGAATAACAAAAAAGTACAGAAATTAAAATTTTATATCTGGCCAGATAAAAACAAACATAAAAAGTTAAGATAAAGATAAATCAGTAAAAAAAAAGAAAAAGAAAATATTCGTTATACATACTATATACAAAATAAAATAAAAAAATCTATATACAAAACTCTTGAAACCATACTAAGATACTTAAAACTATGTACAATGGTAAAATATAAATAAACCATTTTAGAAAAAATAAATATAAATTCTTCTTAACAGTAAAATCTGTCTTTCTGTTGAAAAAAAAAAAGAAAGAAAAGAAAGTCGAATCTATAATAAGTATTTAAGTTATGAGCTATATGTGAATATATTATTTTAAAAAATATGTAATTTTACATAAAAGGTTAGCTGGTATCTGACTGTTTTTGGGACAGGAATTGGAATAGGAGGGTTTTGAATGTAGATAGGGATGAAGAATGTCGAATTTTGATGGGAAGGCAACAGCGTTATTACAAATCGTGCACTGGACCATTTTATAATAATAAAAAATAACTTACAGTTAATGTCAAGTGAAGATTATATTGTGATCCACTAAGCAAACAAATGCTAATACTGACAGGATTATTAGCTTAACAATCACAGGGCTCGTAGAACTCTTACTATATTTTCTTTACATTGAGTGGCGTAAATATAAGAAGTATTAAAAATTACGTACGATAATGTAACACTGTTAAGAAAAAAAACAAAGAAAGAAAAAACAAAATTGGGCTCAATATATGAAATTGAAAGAAAGCGCTCCATAGTTGTTTACTCACTGCCGTCTGTGGCCAGACTGTCTATTTAGATTATATGCAAGTTTTTTTCTTAAGTAAATACAACATAAATCAGATTATTAGAAAAGTATAAAAAAAAAATAATAACTAACAATAATAGGTATCTGTCTTCTAGGTATCTGTCTTCAGAGCTATTTTGAAGACTTTAGAGATTTCAATACAATGTTAAAGTTACTTTACATTAATTTCCGTTCTTAAACTAAGGAGAGGGTAGGAGAGGAGATAATATCACTTTTTTTCCTGGCTGACTTTATTATTTCTTAAAAGCATTTGTTTGTTCTTACATTTTATTTTTTTTAATAATTTAGAAAATCCCATGATCGGGGCATTATTTTGTCTTTATTACCTTTATTATCTTTCCAGTCAGCATTTAAAAATAGGTCCTAGCAAAGACATTTGTACAAATATTTGGTCTATTATGTTAAATGGAATATTGTAATCGACCAAAGAAAAAATATTAATTCCTTCCTTACATAATATATAGGATCTACTTATTTCCATATTGTTTTGCTATTTATTCACTAAACAAAATTTTCTGTGAATTATTCGCATGGGCCAACTAGTATCTAATATTCTTTCAAAATTATAAGAAAGTATTTTTTCATTTACCTTTGCAAAGTTGAACTAAAGATTCCAATTTTATATTATCCATAACAAAAATTTTATACAAATTATGGATTCCCCTTCCTTATAAAAAAAGTAAGCAACACCCAATCATTTTTTCTTCAGTTGATATGAATTGCCTTTTTTTTCTAAATTTCTACAAAATCGAAAGTTTGGATGATGGTAAATTTTTACTATTTATTGTAATATTGTTTCTTAGATATTGAATATATTTACACCAAAAATATATATTTTTTTAAATCGACTCCTTTTTTCGAAAATATTAAAATAAAAATTTTCCCACTTTCAGAGAATGACCCATGAGCATTTTTTAAAACTAATTTATAAACCAATAAAATCAATCAGTTTATTTCTCACCTAGAGAATGTCCAATGTAAAATAATTGTTCAGCCCCACGAATTTGTAGAATTTTGTCCATAAACGCTGGTAAGTCGTACAGGCCAGCTTCATGAAAACTAAAATAAATCAATTGGAAAAAATAAATATTAATTGAGATAACTCTTAGGAGCATCTTATTATATCAATTACTAAATATAAAAAGACATCTTTGACGGGCTTACCTGAAATCCCAAAAGTTTGGGTTTGATCTCTTATATTTTAAGCTATATTCATTGTAAACTGTCCCGCGCTGGTTAGTAAGCCATACATCGTAACCTTCTTTTAAAAGAAAGAATGCTGTAATTAGAAATAAATAAAACAGATATTACGATCAAAACCGTATTAAATGAGTAAACTTATTGAATTTAAAATCTCATGTTTAAATATTATATTATTTAAATTAAGAGTGAGGACACACTCTGGCTCCTTTCGCCTGGTGTTTAAAACTAAGGTGTTTTCTGAACCCTGTCCACTAATTAGTGGATATCTAATTGTTCCTTTCATACAATGACCAAAGCCTAAACACCTTGAACAGATAAATAAATATTATTTAAATGGTTCTTGAGTTTTCTGGGGAGTCATCTTTTTATCTTTCTTTATGATCGGTACAATATCCGCTTTACTCCACTTTAGTGAGCAGTGTCGGCCTTAGGGTGGGACAATTGCCCCGGGGCGCCGGCCAATCTTCAGGGGCGCTAAAATAAAAAATAAAATAAAAAAAACGTATCAAAATAATCAAATTTAGCATATTAATAAATCAACTGTATTAAGGATCTATTGAATGAAATAAAATTCAAATATTACATCATTATATAAATAGGCAAACACAAAACAGTTCAGCCCCTTTTTCTCCTCTATTATTCAACCGATTTTCTTCCTAATTTTTTTGTTTAATAACTATTGATGAGCTCTAGTGTTATCAATAAATAAAAATATGAAATAGTTTGTAAATAAAAATATAAATGGTAGTTTGTTCAAAACAGCTAATTTCCAAAAGTTCTCCACCGATATCTTTGAAATTTTGACACGTCGCAATAATATTTAGAAGTGTTTTTGTATACGTTTCATTATCATCAGGCCTTTATTTCGAAATGACGGCCGTAAAACGTGATTCGTTTCAGACTGTAGCACCAATATGGCTTTAACGATTTTAATGAAACTTTGCTAAAGTCATCCCCTTGAAACATTTATAATTTATATATATAACATACTTTCCCGGAAACATTTTTATGATGAATTCAGTACTTTATTTGTACACTTTATTTATTAATAGTACCAATATTTATTTGAAAGCTTCCTGAATTACCTACAAAATAAAAAAATCATCGAAATCGGACTATTTGTTGCAGAGATATATCATTTTAGAAATTTAGTACTTTTTCTTTTTCGAAGTCGATTTCCTTTATTTTGGTTTTTGATAACTCGAAAACTTTACCTTTAATGAAGTAATCGGGACTACTATTTGAAGAGATGATGTAATTGAATGTTACCTAATAAATTAAATTTAAAAATAAATTCTATAGTTATACTCATTCTTAACTTAAATACTGCACAAGCATTAGTTAATGAAACACGCATGCAAGTGAAGTACTGACGGGAGCTACTTTAAATAAAAGAATTTTAATTCCAAGAATCAATTTAATATTTTCTGACACAATACTTCCATTCCAATTTCAAAGAACAACGTTCTTATTAATAGCTGCATTTGCTATGACCATAATCAAATCGCAGGGTCAAAGTTTTGGAAAAAATTGTTTACTATTGCGACATCCAATAATCCCACATGGACAATTATATTTGGCAGCAAGTAGAGCACGTTTATTTAAAATTTTGAAGTTTATATTTATATTGTTGCAAGGGGCAAGGCTATGTACAACAATATAGTACATAGCCTTGCCCCTTGCCATTATAAATATAAACTTCAAAATTTTAAATGAACGTGCTCTACTTGCTGCCAAATATAATTGTCCATGTGGAATTATTGGATATCGCAATAGTAAAAATTTTTTTCCAAACTTTGACCCTGCGATTTGATTATGACAGAACATTCAAAAAGAACATTGTTTACAGAGTTGAAATTGAATTTGTGTTTACAGAGTTCAACACAAATCATAACATTAATTTATTGTGATAATACCACACATAAATTAAAATGGAAATTAAATGTTTTGAATGAGTCTATTTTGTATTACTTACAAATAATTTTAAGTAGTTTAAGCTCGATTTTTAATTGAAATTGAAATTTTCTTTATATTAATAAATGATGTCATTGCCCGGTGATGCAAAATGTCCAAAGCCCCACTGCATGCGAGGTGGGTTTTTTCTTGATCAGGGGTGTCCATTCCCTCTCTCCAAAAATTGTAATTCTTTTCTCTTCTTAAAAACAATGCAAGAGAAAGTAGGATTAAACAAGTGGTAGATCATATACAATTACACTTGCTGTGGTCCGGCACATGCTTTCCTCCTAGTTATCTGTTTTGAAACTTTTCTATCCGAAAATTCATAACCACGTCGAAATGTGCCCCCTCAAAAATTCAAAATTCAGTCATAATGTACGGCCATCAAAATTTTTGACCCCCTTCTGGGCACCAGTGTTCTTGATGAGGTTTTTCAGTCGTAGAATCATCCCTTTACTTCCTCTCAAGATACCACTATTAAATATAATTATGGACAACAATATTTCAACGTTGAATTACGTTTCTCCTTCCAGGAGCGTATTAATTTAAGAATATTTCGATACGACTTACAGGATTGATTGAAAATATTGCCCCTTTTAGTAGCTCCAAATTCCAAAAACAACCATTCCGCTATAAATGAAATCTAAATGGGAATAATTATATTTTTGAGAACTTTATAGAACTGTTTTTATATTCGCAAATTATTTTGAGTTAAAAATACAATTTCATTCAATTTTTTTCCATTCCTCAAAAATTATCGCTCCTAAGCAAGTGCCTTGTCTGTTTAGGTGTAAATCTGCCACGGCCTCGTGTTGCTCAGCTACCCCCAGAAGAGCTTCCACCCAAATTTTTTAATTACCACATCTTCTTTTCTTAAAGATAATAGCTTTCCAATAAAATTCACAATCAAACCTAAAACGGATCTGCTACCTCTCCAAGCGAATTCGGGATTTCTGTACAATTCGGTTCGCAAATGTACAATATTCAATATTAACTTGAAAACATAACCATCCAAATCCTCTTGTTTCTAACCTTGCTTCCTCTTCGATTCCTGATAACCCTCCGAGGCGTCTGAAAAGAAGATGGCCTCGTGATCTTCTCATGTAGACAAATTATTAGAGTGCTACCAGTGGGTAGTTTCTCAACAAGTCATTTCATGTTTTTATTTTCTGTTATCAAATTTACTTGATGTATTCATACTAATACAGTTGTAAATATCATAATAAAAGTTTAAAAAAAAAAAAAAAAACTTGAAAAATTCCAATTCTTTAATTAAATACATATAAATCAAATGTTGGCACTTTTTGGAAAGATCAGTACAAGGTTATGTTGGCACTTATTGGTGAAGTTGGACTTATTCAATTGGGATATTTCTTCAGCAACTTATTTAATTAAAAATATTTCATAAAGCAGCCAACATAGAGGTTTGTACCATTACCAGCTAAATTTTCTCGTTCCTTAAATAAATGAATTCCTCATACCTAGAAATAATTCAGGATGCAGTTGTGTGGTAAATCTTAAGTCGTTATGTAAGTTGGATTACTTTTTACAAATTAAAATAAAAACCTTTGACTGGGTTCTTTAACTACTGATATTATATAAATTCAGGTCAATAGCTATAGAAATAGTGCAGATTATTACTAAAATGTACTTGAATATTTTGCTTCGGTTAGAGCAAAAAATTGACCTATTTTTTAATCATTTAGCAAAGAGCTAATTTTTTATTTTTATGTATTATAAATAATTATAACCAGTGTATTGAATGGTGACCATCAAGCTGGGATTCGAACCTGCGACTTTGAGCTTTGGAACTCAATGCCCTACTCACTGAGCTACTCCGCTTCATCAATATATATATTTAAAAAAAAATGTCTTCACACTAATAGGAAATTTATATAGGATAACATGAACGACGTAACGAACAGATCTAATTCCTTCACTAACTTTCGTACAACTTATTCGTTATGAAAAAGTTGAGTGCTTTAGTATCCATAGTTTTCTTGAAAGGCTGATTGTTACCTTTAAAAATGTTTAAATATCACAATCTCATGATTAATTTTAAAAAGTAAAGTATGTGAAACTTGCTAGAATGGAATTGCTCAGTTTAGTTACGATAAAAAAGCCAGACGGTGGTTTTAAGTCATATTTTGTTTTCCAACTAAACTCAAATTTTAATTTTAAATATTGTTAAAATTTTTGAGGTGGGTGAATTTAGTCCAAAACGAAAAGGGTATCGTGGTATGGTTCGATATGTTTACAAAAGATCTTTACTTTATTTTTTTTATAATTTCTTATCAAATTCATACGATCGTCAAAACGATTACTCAAGCTAGATGATTTTCGGCTATTAATCGACCTTTAATAACGAAGTATATTCCTAAAATATTTAATGTTTGACAAAAGATATTTTGACAGTTGACACAGGATCGGGAATTGTGGATTTGGTTCTGCAAGAACCGAATCTACCGCTCGGCGGTTGAAGAGGAAACGATTAAGAAGAAGGAGGACTTAATGTTTGCTTTGAACACTCGTTTGCGACTACCACCAAAATAACATCGTAGAAGTCATAAATCCTGTCCTAATGGTCTCTTTCAGAATTTGGATGTTGTTTATTATTTTTGTTTACCTGGGCATGTATAAAAGTCAGGCTACATAATTATTCACAAAAGATTATGGAAAGCCACCGTGTTTAAGAACCTCTACTATGCTAATGTGTTCTCAATGGCGTATCTACGGTTGGACAAGTAGGGCAACATTCAGAGGGAACAAGAAATTCGCAAATTATTAAATTTAAAAACCGACAAAACAAATAATAAAATATAAAATCAGAAAATCTCACAATTTTTGTACATTCACATACTGTGAGCTGTACTGAACAAACGGGAGAGAATCCGGGCGGAGTTGAACTTGTAAAACACCTTAAGAAATTATGTCCACGCCAAAGGAAATTATGCCTAAGCCATACTCCACAAAATGAATACCCCTTCGAAATCTGAAATGTTAAACAATGAGATTGTAAAAGTGGAAAACGGTCAAAATATCATAAAAACACAGCATGAAGTAATTAGAAGAGCTAATTGAATTTATTGTGCATTAGGAGGATGAAAGCGTGATTTCAAATCTGCGCATTCTCCATCAAATCCTGCTCACAACTGCAGTATCCATCTCAAGTTGTGAACAATCTTTCAGTAAGTTAAAATTTATACTTTCCTGTTTGAGGATTACAGTGGGTCTAGAAAGAATATCTATAAGGCTTAAAGGTTGAATATTGTGATCTCTGAACACTATTATAAATGTCCTTTGAGACAGATTGTAATATTTCTCAATAAACAAGTTCTAAAAAAAAGTTAAATATAAGGGTAAATTTATTCAGCGTCGCAGACTAGAAAGGTGCAATTGAAGGATAAATGTTTTACGGACTTACTATTAAAAAATAGAAAATTAATATGTTTTGTTAGATTTATGGTAGTTTCATTTAGTTTATCTGTTTTTTATATTAAGATTACCACAGACGGATATACGGGGAGGAGGGGCTTTCGGGCTGAAGCCACCTCCAAAATGGTAAAATGTAACCATGTTTTACTGAAAAAAATATTAAAAACTATATCTTAATGCATTCTTTTTCGTGTAATTACTTTTAATAGGACTTCAAGAACCACTTAAACACCATTTCATATAGGTTATTAATTTCTTTATTTTTTTTTTCAAATTAATTATCGTTACATGTATATGAAAAAAAATCTTTCGGGCTGAACCCCCCCCCCCTCAAAAAAAAATTAAATCCTGGATCCGCTAGTGAAGATTACGAAGGGGCTCAACTTTGATGCGTGTCAAAGGTGTCATCTTCGATTGGTATGCCCCTTAATGGCTCAAAATTTCATATGTGAATAAAAATAATATCATGCATTATTATAAACTATGAAAATTTTATGAAGTATTTTTTTTTTTCTTATACCAAAGTCGTTGGTCATTCGGCCATCCGACATATTTTCGAAGGTATTAAACGTAAGTTAAGTATTAATTCCGTATAACCACTCACCCAGATCCTTTTTCGGACCCCTTGTGATCCAACATTCAGATGCAACAAAGACACCATGGTGCATCATGACCGGAGGTCCGGTGTTGTTGCCCAATCTGTGCATCCAGAGGCTGTAGCCGTCTTCTGTTATCACTTCTATATCTGTTGATGCATAACCTGCTGCGGTCGCTAAATCTTTCTAAAACACGTTATTATTCATTAGCTAGTATGAACAAAATTTAAAAAAATAAACTTAAGAAATTATGCATTTAATATAACTATAGGTTACGTTAATTAATTATCTTTATCGTGTTTACATTATTTTATTTTAATTAATTATTACTTATTAATACTCATTATTATTATCATATATAGTTTCATACTATATGTTCAATCACCACAGTAAGGATATCGAACTGGAAAATCAGACTTACCTGACTTGGAAATAGCTATCGAAAGGCTGAAAACAATTGACTCAGCCAGCGATGGGCAACCAATCACCAGGGATTTGAAAGAAGAACTAAGAATCAAGCTATTAAAAAATAATCAAATAATATAAGACAAGGAAAGGATACCAGAGACTTACAACACGATCCTAAAAATGAGCTTCGTATACATTAACTATGTCTCTATAAGCACTATCCTCAGGCAAGTGTAATAATTGCAGAGTTATAGGACTCCTTCCTGTTGTCTAAAATATAATGACCGTTATATTTTAAATAATATGCACCTAAAGTGGGTGTTTAAATAATATGCACATATTATATGTGGCAACTAAGCAGAATACAGAAGTGGAAAAAGTACTATAGGCCAGATATTCATCACAAAAACCGGACTCGAAAAACAATGAGAAATAATTTGAGATGTATACTTCTTGTCGATTAAAAATCAGCCTATGAATCCATAGATAGAATCTGTTTTTGGGAGATCATTGCTGAGCTGAAAGTTCCCGAATAAGAGATTACTGAAAGGGTGAGAAAATTATCCTAAATGTCAAATTCTAATACAAACAGAAGTAGGTATCTTAAACCTTCAAACTAGTTTGTGATAGGGAAACTCTTGCCGATGCTGTTAAACTTTGGAGAAGATAATAAGAATATCATCTTTAGGTAGATCATCTCCCTTAGAAGGGACCGTACGGCGGAGTGAATCATCAAATTCTAGGATACAGTGATGATACTGCTGTCTTTGGAAGATAAATAAAGAAAAAATAAAGACATTTGAGATATACGGCAACAAGACCTGGACATTAACCATCCCCTTAGATGTATTGAAATAAAAATGTTCCAGCAGGAAACCGAAGCTTTCTTGGATGAGAGTAACTAACGCATGGAGGAGAAGAACCCATAAAATACGACGCTGATTAACCAATATCTCATGATATGAAGCAAGGAGATTAAGATGAGTGGGAAATATAACATGAAATAATCCATGAAAAAGCCTCCAAACAACAATGAATCCCTCAATTGTTGGTGAGAAACCACGTAGGAGGCCCAAGCTAGAAGTTGGTAGAATCAACAAAGATGCTGCAGAGCTGCATCCAAAATAAGCTGGAAAGCTATAGCCCAAGACAGGCTGAGGTGGAAAAGTCTGGTTGAGGCAGCCAAAGATCTACAAGGAGGGGTCTTTAAGAAAATCTGACTGGAAGTGTCTGGTGATATAGTTGGAGGTAGTTAAAAGTGAGTAAGTTTAATGAAGGCTAGAGGAACTGGGTGGTGGAGCCTGGAGGTGCTTAGAGGTATCTGGAAGTGAGTAAGTGTTGTGAATCTTGAGATACTGAGTGGTAAGCCAAGGAGGTGCGTTGAAAAGATCAGAGAGGTAGCAGGCAATTAAATAAGAAAGGCAATCGTCTAATATTTATTTTGGCAACAAATTAAATGAGTAATACTATTAATCTTGCCTCATATCACCATTGTCAATTCTAAATCGTAATTTGTTTGTATAAATTTCTTAACCACATTAGAATTTTTTAACAAAATTATGCAAACGAAATTAAATAAAATTAGTTAGGATACTTTTTTTTTTTTTTTTTGACTTGATTCTTCAACTCACACCTGTCAGAAGTTCCGACAATCAGCGAGTGTGATGTCAAGATGAAGAGATTGGTCTTGGAATAGGCGTGAGGGATGGATACTTAAATGCTAAATAAATGAACACTTACACCGGCATCGCTAGATACGAGAATGCTACAACGGGCAACGTTCCAACACTCGGCCATCATGACCGCATATAATACATTTAACATTTTCAAACATTTCTCCTCTGTAATCGATAGAAACATTTAGTATAATAAATATATTGAACAGACTGAAGATATTGACTGCCATTTATGGAATCCTTAACCCCCTTAAGAAAGCGGACAACTAGAAACGGATCAGTACGAATATTTGTTTTTCTTTGATAAAAAATATGAGTGAAATAATAGTGAATGTAGTTCATTTGCATTAAGAATTCATAATATTCAATGGGAAGAAGTTTAGACAATAGTAGAACAAAGTTTTTCAAGTGCATTTCATGTTCATAACCTTGTTACATACATTTGGTTCTAGTGTCAATAAACAGAAAATACTCAACACTTGTTTAATAGCCTTAGAAAATTAAGTTCAGTAACAATGTCATCTTTCATTGTTTTGAACAATAGTTTTTTCAAAAGAATCAATAATTTATTACTTCTCTAAATTTATTACCTTTAGTACAGTATAATCCTTGTGAAAAAGGAAGTTATAAGGCATCAAATGAATTAATTTGATTTCTTTAATACATGATAGATGAATAATTGTAAACCTAAGTTTTGTTCTCGCAAGACTTCGAGATCATTTAAAATAAAACAAATTTAAAAATCATTAAAAAATGTGCTAACGATTCTTGATAATCTTCGTCATAAGGTAACAGAGAAAATAATTACTTACACATATGTCGTATTGGTACATTTTTCATTTTTTGAAGTAGTCGATTTGTCCAGATTATTCTGAATTTGGAACCCTGGGGTTCCTGCACATTGTTTTGTACTCGTATTAACACTAATTATTAACAAATAACTGCACAGAACTGAAGGTAGTTAATATAATAGGTAAGCAATTAAAAATAATTATATTTTAAATTTATAGCCTAAACACCAGTTATTTTACGACTTTATATATAAGGTATTACTTTTTAATTTAAACAGCTTTCCAAAGATATATTATACAAAATTTAAGATACTTTAGAAGAAGAAATTGTTTTGAGAGTTTGGTAATTAAGCTCTGCTTTATTATTACTCAATAAAGTTAATACACACACACACAAACATCATTGAAAACTCGGATTCGAATTTTTTTTCGATCGTAATATTGTGCTTTTACGAGTATATATTTCAAATATAGGTAAGTTTAAAACTATTAAAAATTATATTGTTTTTTAAACGGCTATCAAATACATGATGTGTATACACTCACTCTAAATTTATTACCTTTAGTACAGTATAATCCTTGTGAAAAAGGGAGTTACCAGGCATCAAATGAATTAATTTGATTTATTTAATACATGATAGATAAATAATAATTGTAAACCTAAGTCTTTGTTCTCGCAAGACTTCGAGATCATTTAAAATAAAACGAAAACAATTTTGATTGTTCATAGTTTTCGTCAATTTTGATCCCTTCAGATTAATCTTAAGGTAAAAGTGAATTAGTACTCTCTATAAAGTTGCTACATGAATCCAAATATTTTATTTAAACCAATATTTTCTGAATTATAGCCATCCGTTTTTTCAAATTATAGTTAATCCAGTAGATTCGAAAACGATAAATCTATTTTTCAGCAAATGTAACAAGATTTGTATTTAAATCAAAGCAGGACCCAATGGTTCAGTGTAGACGCAGTATTCATCGAAATAATGCAACCGTATTCGTCGAAGTAAACATGTATAAAAGTATATAAGAGTTTGAAAACTTTGCAATTAGAATCGAGGAGGTCATTAATGACAGATTGCATGACAGGAGGAGGACATATTGACTCCTGCGATTCACTGGGCCGACATATTGTTAAGGTCAGGGGCAAGGAAATTGCTCATCACCGGTATGAAAATCTGGTTGAAAAAAGGCCTTCGGGTAGCATCCGGATCTACAACAAAGTTCGGCAGATTCGGGTTAAAATGGAAGATAGGAGGTGGAGTGAGAGTGGAAAACGTTGGCATTGAATAAAGAATTAGATTTCTTCTGATCACTTTCCTATTGATTTATCATAAATCGCCCAATATAAAATATCAATATTATTAGAAAGGTATAGAGTGCGAACTTGAAACATATTAACAGTATTTTATTTCATCTACAAGTTGACTATACTTGTCAGAGTTATTTTTTGTTTCTCATGAAAAAATGAACAATTTTTTTTTACTAAAAAAATGTATAATTCAGACGTAAATTGCTATCTGAAAATCGCTTTGGAATAATCAAATTTTATTGACAGCTTCACAGCTTTCTATCGCGAGATATACGAATATACTCGTATAACTAAATATACTCGTAAATCATCTCAGCAAATCTCTTGGCCACCGCCTACTTGATCACCGTGGTAGGCTGTAGGGGTTTTAAACTGTTAAATAATAGGTTATACAGGATTAAAATATAAGATCTGATAAGGGTTTAACAAAGACTCTGGATAGTAACAGAGAAGCTAATTGTCTTCCATGCTTATCAAATACTGGAGAATTTATCGTAATCAATAAAATTTTAAACCTCAAAGACCCGAAAGAAGTTAAAAATTAACAAAATATTAATAGTAGTCGGATAGTATCAGTTTTGAAAGATATTGGTAATGTATATTAATCGATGTTATCGGTTGTTACATACCTCAAGATATATTTCTCAATTAACTTCATACAGATAATTGATTCAATTAAATATTAAACAATCTCAGAGATGGAATATTAGTTTTTTTACTCGGTTTGTAAGAGAAAGCCAGGTTGTAAACTTAATGTCTTCAGATATCCGTGATAATCTGCCAAATTTTCCAGGTGTAATTTAGTAGTTATATAAATTAATTCAAAGCTTGACGGTTACAGTTTGTTGTGACCTACCAAATACTGAAAACCGTCACTATTGATTATCTAACATAGTTTTAATCCAATTAAATATTGAAAAAAATCAATAAATAGTCTGTTTTTCAAACTATAATTAATAAAATAAGTTTCCAAGCTGAATTCTAATGATGCGCGATGGATTGATTCGTTGTACAAATTATTATATCTGTAAGTTTTGAAACTATATTAAATATATTTTAATGCAAAATATGATTAAAAAATAATTAAGTTTGTGTGCGCGTTATTACCATGGCAATGGTTATGCGTGTATGGGTTAGGATCAATGTATACAATCTGAATACACTGAAGATAAATTATAAATGTTTTTATGAACATGTTATCATTTACAACTAGTTACATTAATATTTTGGTGCTTTTTATTTAATTTATGTAATAAATACTTATGAACAAAATTGACGGTATGGATATGTTAATGTGGATATCCTAATTAATTAGGATTATCTATTCATCTCTATACCAGACATTGACTTTTTATTGTTTAATTTTCTACTGCGTACAGTCTGAAACGGAGGATAGAATATAAACAAATTTCCAACGATTTAAATATTCGGGACAAAACTTCATAGGTCAAATATGATTTTCTAACAATTTCAATGGTTAGGACAACATTTTCCGAGACTTTAGTTTGATAAAATTAAAATATAGTCATTCGGTAAGGAAATATTGGGGTTGTTTGTTTAGAATCCGTCGTCTTGTTTGAATCGTATACGTATGTCGTATTAGCGATTTTTAAGGGAGGGATTGATGGGTTGGATTTGGTGAATATTTTGTAAATTTTCCACATCGATTTGGAACTCGTATCAAAGGATTCAAGTGTTTTGGACCAATTTTTGTTTCCTCTACTCATAGAGCTTCTTTCTTAGAAGATTTGTAAGTTAGTACGAAATTTTTTAAGTGTAGTGGAATTCGTTGATTATGTTTTGTTTTCAACTTTATTACTAAATTTAATTAAAATCTTAATTATGTCAGGGAGTTCATCAACTTTTGGAGCAATATAGGTCTTGGGAATAGGTTGTTGAGCTGCATCGGAAATAGTTTGTTAAGTTATCGATTGCATTAGTTATTTCGCCTTAATTATTTGGAATAGGATTTACTTTCAGCTTTTTTGTTTCTAAACTTTTCCACCAGTTTTGTATGACGAAAAGGAGTAAATTATATTAGATATACATATATTTAGATACAGGTAGAAATTTTTCTTGCTCGTTTTTGGTTTGCTCGTTTTAACTTTCTTGACTGAATTTGCTAGATAATCACCGAATTCACAAATTATCGCAGTTGATTTTTGTATTCATCATTAGCAGAGGGTTCTAAAAAAAGATTTTGATTACAGTAAGACCTTAGCGGTCTTTAGCGCGAGGCACTTTCCGATGAAAAAGGAAATTCCAGGATCCTTTTAGTAATAACTTATCCTATGAAAATACGACTTTTTAAAAATTTATTTAGAAATATCTTATTTAAGAACATATTTGACTCATTTCCAAAAATAACACAACAAACAATTATTTTCAAAATACAGTAAAAACGTCTAAAATATATTTAATGATAAGAAATAAGGCTGTTTTATTTCTTCACCATATTTATTTCAATTTACATAGCTACGTTTCGGCCGGTAAGCCATTTTCAAACCATTTTATCCAACCTTGGTTGTTGCATGTAGTCCAAAGTCAGATTAAATTATAAGTGCATTTCACACAGCCTTATTTTATAATATTTAAAAAAAAAATCACCTATAACAAGCATATATATATTTAATGATTTATAACAAGTTGCATGATCAATGTGACAGATAACAGCCTTTTTACTTGATTTAAAATTATCAATAGGAATTTAAAAAATATCATTCAGAAAACTGTTGAATTTAGACCAGTTTGCATCTTTGTATCGATATTTTACTGTAGGCCTGGATTTAATTTTATGCCAAATAATACCGGGTTGTGATCCAAACTTGTAATTAGAGTTACTGACCCGAATGGGTAGTGAAATTAGAGGGCTGAGTGAATAAAACGATTTGGTTATTGGTTGATTGATATTTGTTTGGGTTTATTTGTTTTCATTTATTACATTTAACAACTGTTTATAATTATCAAATGCGTTTAGGACTATTGGACTATTTGTGTATCTCACTATTGCTGGCAATGAGCTTATTTGTACACTGTTTATTGATCGTGCTAACGATTCTTGATAATCTTCGTCATAAAGTAACAGAGAAAATAATTACTCACAGCTATGTCGTATTGGTCCATTTTTCTTTTTTTGAAGTAGTCTAATTGTCCAGATCATTCTGAATTTGGAGCCCTGAAGTTCCAGCACATTGTTTTATACTCGTATTAACACTAATGATTAACAAATAACTGCACAGAACTGAAGGTAGTTAATATAATAGGTAAGCAATTAAAAATAATTATATTTTAAATTTATAGCCTAAATAAGAGTTATCCTACGACTTTATATATTAGGTAATTACTTTGCTTGATTTGAACAGCTTTCCAAAGATATATCATATAAAATTTAAGATACTTCAGAAGAAGAAATTGTTTTGAGAGTTTGGTAATTAAGTTGTGCTTTACTATTACTCAATAAAGTTAATACTTCCCTGATATTAAACAATTTTTAATTTTACTTTGATATCAATTTATTTATCAAAGTCAATTTTAACGGAAAAGTCAGTGAAACATCTTGGACACATATCTATCTTAAATACGTTTCTGCTTTTCGTTTATATTTCAAATATATGTAAGTTAAAGTAATAAATATTCATAATACAAAAAATTGTATTATTTTTAAATGGTTATCAAATACTTGATGTGCATACACCCACATTGGTGTATATTCTGTAAGAATATTATGAATACTTCATATTATTTTTGTTATCTTTATTTAACATTCATTATTTAATTTTAATTGACGAACGAATGGCTATTGTCTAATTTAACTGATAAGTTTCAAATTTGTGAAATTGAAGTCATTTAGAAAAGTGATGGCTAGCCTGAATTAGTGATAATTAAAATCTTGCTAAGAATAAATTAGTATAATTATAATGTTCGCATAACCATATTTTTTTTTCCATCCGCACCTTTTATTTGTATATCAGCAATCGGCAGACAAGTTCGTATAATAATCAGAATAGAAAAAATATATAATAAAATAAAAGAAGCTTGATAGGCATGAGGTAAAGCAGAACTCAGCGGTATCCCTTATGCGGCTTTCATTAATTTACATAGTTACGTAAGTAGCTCCCTCATCCAGACTCTTTTCAGTCGTATTTTGGTATTCTCCGGCACGAGAGTCGTGGCTATTCCTTATATTAGGTGTTTCTAGTTTCCGTTCAACATATCATGGAATCGTTTGTAGTAGAACCGTATTTCTTGTCTCCTAGCATGCGTAAGTGTGTAAAGTGTTGTTATCCACGCACCATGGTGCTCAGGTAATTAATCATAGCATTTTAGATTAAAAAGTTTGAATTCTGTTAATGTGTTTGTTTTCCAATTCCATATCTTTGTAGTTCATCTAGAGAGGGTTTAATAAGTATATATAAATATTTAATTTTTGCCTTTCTTTTAATATAGAATGTCTTCTAAACAGCGATTGCAATAATTTTAATCTTAGGTTTAAGGATGCACACATTTTTCTTTACACGTGGACCCCAAGTCATTCTCTAATCAAACGTCACTCCTAGGTATTCTATTCTGCCCATTTGTGGGATCTTGTAGTAGAAAAATAAATGTTGAATTATGTTTATATATCGTCACGTTTCAATTACTCTATGTTGTGTATTTCTAGCAATCATAAAAATATGTTTTAATACGGAAGCATTTACGGCTATTGTTCTATAGTTTACACTATCTGATAAATATTTTATGAAAGCCTTCGTTGTTCCCAATTTGTTAAAAAATAATTAGTCGTTATTGTAATAAAATACATTATTATATTTACATGATGCCTCCTATTCTCAACAGTTATATAGTATATATTTATTTGAAAACATAGATAGTTCAGAAACTCACAACAGTGGGAAGCCCCTTGAAGGACGGAGGCCTCCTCTGCCAGGACTCCGCCACGAAGAGGAGGAGGATGAAAGAAGCCAACATCCCTTAGACGACTGAAGAAGGAGCCACCTTGCTGCCCCCTACCACGCTCTCTCGGTCCGCTTGTCCTTCGGTGCCCTTGATATTCACAATACTAGCTCTCCAGTGCTTCAATATATTAAACTGATAAATATTGACCGAGTTTTTGGAGGTTATAAAAGTAGGACAAACTTCAGGGTCCATTAAAACCTGCTTGATTGGAATTATGCAAAGCACTTATTAGATCATTAATGACACACAGTATATTACGAATTAATGACATAAAATTACGAAACTGTTCATAAATGATTTTCCTCACTCCATATAGAATTATTGAGAGATGCATCTATAAACAATTGATTTAGTCAAAAATTCTGGGTTATCCTAAGAATCCTTTAAAACTTTGATTTTAATTGGTAATCCGTGATAGAAAAGTTGTATTTTCTTCAGACTTTCATTTCTTCTATCATTTATAAACGATTAAGAAGTCAACTTTTAAAAACTTTCACATTTCGTGGCATATGTTGAAATCAAATGAAGTTTTATGAACTCTATGTATATATTTTCAAAATAGAAACCCATGTAACTATAAAATAATTTTTATAAATATTTTAAAAATAATAAAAATAAATAAAATAATAAAAATGTATATATATATATATATATATATATATATATATTTTACTAATATTAACTAATACTTCTGTATATAAGTTCATGTATTGTCTTAAGGATAGAAGAGTATCCTGTGTATATAGCAACCCAATATAATTGGGCAGCAATCCTTTATATTTTATGAAAATAAAGTGTTTCTCTCTTTCTCTCTTTATAATTAATTTTTACTAAGAAATTAAGGTGTTTATTTTTAATTCCATTTAGCCACATACAAAATATATGATAATGGAAAATAAGTTCTTAAAACTTTTCATTTCATTCATTCGGCTTAGATCACAGATTTAATTTATCTAAAATGAATTACTTGATTCTGATATGTCCTTTCGTTGAGTTGCTTAGACTATGCTGTTCATTTAGTTCAAATATTCAATATTTAGTTTGACTTTTTTGGTAAAATAAATTACTTCAATAGTCCTTTAAATATATTTTTTTTTTATATTAAAGTTCTGTAAAACTCTTTCTTGAAAAGTAGCAAGAAAAAAAGTTCTACTTCCAAAATAACAGGAAACAAAATTTTAAAAAAAGAAAAGATTCTACTCATACCGAAATTAATTAAAAATAAAAGTTAAAATATCATTTCAAGGCCTGATTTATAGGCTATCTATGACCAAACTTAGATCCGCGGTATAACATGACTCTCCTGTAATAAATGTATACATTTTAGACATAAATGTATAAATGAAAACAATTTGAGATCCAGAGTTATTATAGAAATTATTTTTTTTTTTATTTTCCTACCTACACTAGCAAATACTACTAGGTAAACCTATAGGTAAGGAGAGTATTGCGATCGAGTCAAATTTCCTATGTGCGGCTTCCGACGGATCTATACGTTTCACAGCTGCCTCAGTCCGAAAAACACATTTTCAGCCATTAGTATGCCTGTCTGTCTATCTGTGCCCAGATTATCTCGGAAACTAGTTGACCGATTTTTCGCTTCCTTTTTTATTTTGTAGGGTTTTGACTACTAATGCCTATGATACGAATTGAGTGTTCCATGAGCAATAGCGGCTGCGCAATAAGTGAAAAACCTATTACTTTCACTTACCTATATATATAATATATAATAAGGGAAGGTATTGCGATGGCGAAAATGTTCGAATATGAGTTTTCAACGGAAATGCACGTTTTGAAGTCCCATGAGTCCAAATAACCAAGTCCCGCAAAATGGTGTGTGTGTGTGTATATATATGACTGTGTGTGTATGTGTTAGCAGTCTAGCTCAAAAACGAAATGTCGTAAGAAAGCGAAATTGCATATTTAAGGTTCTTATATGCCTAAGCTGTTACAGCAACTTTTTCGTCAAAATCGGCTAACCGGAAGTGTTAGTTTAGCGATTTTAATTGAATTCGGTATATCAGTGTATTATTAAGTTCTTATTAATATCAGCTATTACTTATCCACATCGATGTCACTTTACAGGGCTTAAATGCTCAATGTTCCTATATGTCTTTCTCTAAAGTTAATTTATTTGGTTTATTTAAAAAAAAAAAATACTCTCTTTTATTGATAGTAGATATAAAATATGGCCAAATATAACCTATGAAAGAATTTGATAAATGGAAAGTGGAAAAAAATGGGAAAATGTTTATTTAGGTCGAAAATAAATCTCCGGAAATACCAGTCAGAAGATATACGTATTATATATTGTTGAAAAGAGGAGATTTTTAGAAAAAAAAACAATATTCAGCATTGAAAGGCGTAGAAGGTAATGGAGAGAGACATATAATAATTTTTGAAAACTAACATTATTTAACGGAAATCACATGTTTCAAAGGAAATTAAACGAAACTTACTTACTAAATGAAAATTAATGTTATAATATGTTTAATTTTAAAATCTGTATGAACATAGCTCGAAAATTAAAAGGGGCACAACTATTTAAAAGGAGGGGAGTTAATTTAAGGGTTAAGCAATATTGAATTATTTCGTAATTAGATTCTTCCGAAACATTGAAATGTTAACAACCTGTCACTATTAATATTCATATTTTTTGCTATTCAATTCAATTTTTCAAGTTAAAAAGTTCGATTATTACATATTTTCATTTGGTAAAATTTAAAAATAGAAAAAAATATTTTGAATAACTAGCGCTTAAATTACATAGAAATAATTATTGTGAGGAGAGGAGGGTACAGTTATAGCACGTCACAATACCCTTTGGTGTAGCATACGTTAAAACCAAAAAATGTCGGATTCAATTGGTCTAACCCTTGAATACATCGATCTATCACGGCAGCAGCCTACTCTATGGTTCTTATGATTTCCAAGAGATCTTGAAATAATTTTTTAAAAAAATCATGGTATGAAGATGATTGACAGTGGATTCTAATTTCAGAAGAAGTTAGTCGATAGTGCCGTCGAAAAATACTATATTACATAATAGTATATTACTTTCACTTACGTATATATGTAATATATAGTAAGGGTAAGTATTGCGATCGAGAAAATTTTTGAATCTGAGTTTTCAACGGAAATACCTGTTTTGGCTGTTGAGTCCTAAAAACCAAGTCTCGAAAAATGGTCTGTGTGCATAGTTTGCAGTCTAATTAAAATACGAAAAGTCGTGCGAAACTGATCACGTATTTAAGATAGGCATATGCCTTAGATGCGACAACAAGTTTTTCCTTGAAATTGGCTAACCGGAAGTGCCAATTCTTATCGGCGCTGAAATAAATTTTTACAATTTTCTCAAAAACGGCTCTAATGATTTAGGTTAAACTTAGTGTATCATTGTATAATTAAATGGTCTTTAATATCAATCACGTCTTATCCCCACTGATGTCACTTTACAGGGCTTAAATGCCCAATGTTCATTTAAGTCTTCCTCTAAAGTACCTTTAATATGGTTTATTTAAAAAAAATAACCATCTCACATTATTCAGAGTTACGAAAAAATGCTAAAACTTTTGAAAGAATTTTGCTAAGTTAATAATGGAGAAAAAAATAAAAATGCTTATTCAGGTCGAAAATAAATCTGCGGAAATACCGGTCAGAAGGTATACGTATAATATATCATTGGAAAGAGGAGAATTAAAAAAAAAAAAAAAACAATAGCTAATATAGAAAGTTGTAGAAGGTAACGGAGAGTGGCCAAAAAAATGATAAATAATAATTTTTGAAAACTAATATTATTTAACGTAAATCACATGTTTTCAAGGAAATTAAATAAAATTTACTTACTAAATGTAAACTTTAAAAATATTTTTAAGTTTGAAAAAATTATTTAAAATTCACCTAATCAAGGCAGTGATGACATTGCTTATAAAACTATTTCATTTTACTTGTATGAAAGAAAAAGTAAAATATAAAATAATTTCATGGATGTATAAAGCACGTATTTATAACCTGAAATACATTTACTGTAGTTTAATAATTCTAGATGACATATTATATTTAAATAATTAGGTATCAACGTCCGTTTATTCCGAAATATTGTCATCTAACTTTTTAGAAACTTAAATTAGTGAATAATTTGATGAATCTTCCGTTTGTGATATTCCAACAGTATCCACAACTATTTCATTGTATTTGTGTGAAAGAAGAAGTGAAATTTTAAGAATATTTCGTAGATTTTATAACCTTAAATATATTTACTGTAGTTCAATAACTCTAGATCTGATATTATATTTAAATATCTAGATCTCTATCGTCCATATATTACAAAAAATCATCAAGTAACCTTTTCCTTTTGTGATATTCCAACAGTATCCACTTATAATCAGTGTGACAACTTTTGACCTGTCTATGACAGACAATGAAAATCTCTTAATTCCGTTTTAGTAAACTTTGCAATGGAAAATAACAGTTTAATAACTAGTAGTCGTACAATCCATAATCAACGGACCGTACAATCCATAATCTAGCGGTGATATAATATATAGGACTTTTGTTATTTTAATGTTATTTATGATTTGTTAGCTGTAATTTTTAGTCTTATCTCAGTTAGAAGTGCAATTCAAAAATTTTAAAATAGCCCAACATGGCCAGAAAATAATTTCTATTTTAAGTTGAGCGGTAAGTGAAAGTTGTGTGTTGCCAGATTTTTTTTTTTTTACATTTTCCAACATTTCGACCTATGTTGTATATAATTTTTTTTTCAATCCGAAAAAAAATTAACATAACGAAATAAAAAATAATCAATTAAAAAAAATCTTATGAATATTTCTCACTGCTTAGAGTACAAGATGTTAATCTCAATCTTAAACAATGATTACGGTTCCCATTGATAATTTGATATCTCATTAAAGAATATAATGTTCATTTAATGTAGATTTATTACTTATTTTCTCAGCAATCCAAGGTAGAGGAATTGTGGTACATGTGTCAAAGACGTCGAGATCTCTAGTTAA